CAATTAAAATTGTCGTTTTCACAGAGAGCCACACGTCTTTGTTACATTCACAAGTGGTGCAAGCGTAAATTAACATGCGTGCCCCTTCTTCATGTAAAAATACATTGAACAGAAAGGTTAAAAGCCGGGACATGTGAAGTTTCGATTTCACGAACGGACGCACGTCTTTATTGATTGATTTTGGCTAATTAACCACTGTGTTCATTTTTAGTACAGTGGTTCAAGCAAAAGTTTATTAACTATCAATGAATCATTTGAGGTTTTTAAAACTGTTTAAACCATGTTTCGTATCGGTTGTTTTGCAGTTTTGAAACTAGAAGAAACGTCTCTGGCGATTTTCAAGATAACCAGTTTTTCTTCAAATTTACGTGCGGCTCTTTGTACGTTAAAACGGCGAAGATATGTGACAGTAATTGGTTGCAGTTTGTGTCAAGAAGTGACTCAATGTCCGGTAGGCCATGGCTAGAGCTAGTAAAAATCACTGAATAACTAGAGGTCTATGTTTATACGACAACAGAACATGGGGCTTTTCCTGGTACACAGTCTCTGAGATTTTCAAGAAAACTTCAAGAGTCTACAAATATTCACAGGATTAAGTAAGTCACTAATCATGTTGTCACAGACGATACGTGTAAACCTCTTCTGTGTAATCCAAAGTGTGAAATGGATAATGTGTAGACTGGCAATTGGAAGAAACTGACATAATATTCAAAATTTATAGGAAAAAAAATGGTAACTTGGGCTGTTTAGTCTGGGGGCACTCGGGGATGCACACATTTTTTTCCAGGGGGCACCCAAAGACACTGAGCCGCTGCACAGGTTAAGGGGGGGGGGCACCTGGGGGCATGGGCATTCGGCGAGGGGAGGGGGTAGTTACGCAACATCACAAAAATTTCCTAATTACCCACGCATCTACCTGGCCTTCTCAAATTCAACTTTGTGGGTGTCATGTGACACGTGATGACGTCATCATTGTATCCCTCAATAATCACCCATGGCATATCCTTTTCTGTTTACGTATCAAAATGTAACTCATTGTTTCAGTGCTATGGTACGTTAGCCTAGTTTTAACAAAAGTAAAATATAGTGTTGAATATTTGAAATCGGATTCCACATTTAAATCAATTGACACAGTTGGACAAAATTTAAGTCCTCTCTTTAAGTATGGTGTAAAGTAAGTGTAAATTGTCTGGGTCTCGTACACTACTAGTATTACCATTGACTTTAACACGAAAATGCTTGTTTTGAGACAAAAGGTTATGAGACGGATGGATGAACTTTCACCATCCGTGAAAGTGGCAATCAGTGCTGCAAATCTTACTTTAATAATAAACCAATTTTCAAATCGCCGTTACCCTTTCTTACATTGCAAATCATTTAGCGAATATAATGTGTATAGTAATCCGGATTCTTATGTATTGTTGGGAGTGCATTCCAGAGCAATAACCCTTTTGAACGCTAAAAACAATGAAACTAAGAAGTAACAGGCCCAAGTTACATTGGGCCATTAAACAAAATACAGTGCATGTACAACGATTCTTGTTCAGACTAAATGTTGTTTAGGCGCAGTACAAACGAAATGAATGGCAAATTTTCTTAACAAATTTCCCTTCTTTTCCTTTGGCGCTACGCAATGTAGTCCTGAATCAGCCTAGTTCTACGACCTGTCATCCAAATTGGCTTGAAAGCTCCTCTTTTTATGTGAAATGTTTAGTAATCATCGAGAAAAAAAAGCCATGCCAAGTTTTCATTTCCATTGCAGTTTATCCGTTGTCAACGCTGAAAGTTCAACTTAACGTTGTAATTTTTTCGAAGGACACTTTGTTTGCTGTTGGTTATTTTGAATACTTGTTCTGATTTGTTTCCTAGATTCATGAAATTTCGTGAATTTTAACGCACAGTAAAAATCGTTTTCAGATCATTTTAAGCGACGTGGCTTTCTAGAATTTCACAGGACCTCGGAAATGAGTAATTTTGAACAGAATGAAGTTAATAATAATAATAAGAGTAATAATAATAATAATTGACATTTATAAAGCGCCCAATCCATCAAGCTGCTCCCAGGCGCTGTACATCAAAATATAAATAAATAAATAAATAAATAAATAAATAAATAAATAAATAAATATAACCTAGATGTACCATAATCAAAATCAATACTAAGAAACTAAAAATGCTTGTTTAAAAAGGTGCGTCTTCAGCCCGGTCTTAAAACTCTCCGCATTCCTAGACTCTCTAAGATGAACTTCAAGCTGGTTCCATAGACGGGGACCAGCGACACAAAACATCCTCTCGCCATCAGAAGACAGCCTAGTTTTTGGAAGAGTAAGTTGCACAAACTTACCAGGAGGCATATGGAAGAACTGCCTGTCGAACATGTACGGATCTTGAGAGATGTAACCCCCATTTTGGATATACATCTTGCCGGCCATCTTCTCTCCTGGACTCAGGAAGTAGCTGGCGTCGAAACGATCTGGCGGTATGGGCGTGGTGCAATCGAGCCCCTTCTCCAACATCTCCCAGAACTTCTTGACACTGTCCACACCGTTACCATAGCGACAACCTATGCCGACTATGGCAACTTTTTGGTCTTCCCACGAGCGTCCCGAGTCCATGTTTCAACCATCTGTCCTGGAATTACCGGGAAAATTCAAAGATTTATAAATCACCAAATAATGTGTCAGTTACTTTGTCTGCGTCTTAAATCGGTGCGTTTTCTAAAGAAAAGAGCTCTAAATAAATCAACTACTGTGTAGCAACCAGTGTCTTGACCGTAGAATTTGAATTAGGACTATGTGGTATAATTAGCTCTGGACGCTGCATCGATAACGATAACCTCCCAAAAGACTATCCTGAACTTTATCGAACGTCCCTCCAATACAAAACTGCAGTTTTCAGTAAAACGCCTTTGTACACAAAAGCGCTGCCTTAATACAAGAATGATACAATATCAATATACTGCAGCAGTTAGATTGCGGGAAAAGTTGCTTTGTAAGCCTTATGCTAACAATGTTGATTATGGATGATAGTGAAGTTAGTTTGATATTGATAATTTGACATTCCCATAGGTTTGTACAGCGAATGTCTGATGTTGTTTGCTCGACATAGGACATTTCCATTGGTTTGCAATGGGAATTGGCGTGACCACTGTGAGCAGAGGCAGCTACACGAGCAAATCAGTCGTTGCATGGCAGTGCTTGAGATCATCTGTCAATACATCAAGCCAACATTACAGAGATTGTGATAATCATTGTTTCACTTCAAACTAACTGCAGTTATTATTCGCAAAAGAGTTACCGAGTATTTGATCGTGGTCACCTCCCTGCCAGAGGATGAACCAAAACGATTTCAGAAGCGGAATCAGTTTTTGGTCTTTCCAATGTCGAAGACGTCACTTATACTGTGAGTCTTATAACGGTTGCAATAAGACAACTTTACAAATTACCTCTCACCGGAACCTAAACGAAAACATCCCGTAATGAGACAGAAAAATTTTTTTAGGCATTCCTAATCTCACAGAAACATACGCCATAAACCTACGAAATACGCCTCCCCACTAAATTTTTAATACTTTAAAAAAGATTTTTCAGTCTTACCTTTATCTGTTGGTTTTCCTCCGCAAGTCTTTTTGGCCAAATGAGTGGAAATTTGTCGAGCTGGTGAGGTCACCTTTATTTATAACCCTACCCTCTCACTCCCACACGATGGGACGTCCCACTTCAGGTAGAGGTCATGGACACCAATTGTTGGGATCATGGCATTTTGCAATGACGTACTTGCATAGAAGAATCATGGAAACAGATTTGTTTTTCGTCTGAAAATTGATTTTATTTTGGTAATTTATTGAGTTAATCAACCATGGTTGACTCTTTTGATACAGTGTCCATTTTGGCCTTCAGATTTGTTCCAGCTGGCTTTGAGATTCAGTATAAATTTCTTCTTGAAAAACAAGGTCACGCATGAGTCCCCCCCATGCATCAATGGCTGAAAATCAACAGAGGCGGCGTTCTTGTTTTTCGAGTGAACCACTTCAAATGGTTGACGTAAATATGAAAACCACAGTGAACAGGTCAAGGGCGAAACATGGCGTGAGAAAACTGGAATTTTTTCCCCCAGTAACCGATGATTAAGCAAAAGACACAGTTTTCATGAAGTCAGAATACTGTGACCTCCGAAGGGCCAGGGACTGTCCCAGCCTAATTTTGTTTCGTAACTTCCTCAACTTCCATACACTTGTGAACTCAGTGAATAGACACAACCTCCGTTGGGCCCGACAATTTTTTAAGGACCCATCCCGAAATTTGTCTGGGACAAGTTTTGCAGACTTTTTTCCTTAGACCTTCATCATTTCAATCAGTTCTATATTTCAAACTCAATCAGTTCCCTTTTTATGAAGTGAACTTGCAACGTTTCCGACCAATACACTCCTAAAATAACCTAGTCAAATTTTTGACTTGTTTTCTTATTTTTTTTGCTAATTTACTGGAAAATTAGTCTCTGTTTTGGAACTTAATTAACGCCAAACAACAGTTGCTTTAACTAGGCTCTTTATTAACAACAATGAGCCTTGACTAATATTCTATACTCGCGCGCGATGTACATCATACGTACGGGTTTCCTACACTGTTCGAAAGGATACTGTTTATTTGAGCAGACGTTATTCCTGCGCATATGCATGCATGGCTCGTTTGCCCATACTTTTCAAATTCACGGTTCAGCTATTTGTCTTGTGAGCACCCTCTCGCGTATCAACCTCACAACAACGTCTTGACGCAGACCACTGAATATACTGTGCTAAACATCAGATTCGACGGTGCTTCGAGTGGAAATAAATTGCGGGCTGGAGGACATGACACCGACCGCCTTCAAACATTTAGCACAACGTGTATGAAATTGGGAAAACCTGAATATATGCAGATTTTATTTGTTACAGCCTGAGAAGCACTTTTATTTAAAAGCAGCTGTTTAGGGCACAAAGAAGCACGCATATAAACAGGAGAAACAATTAGCAAACCGCCTCTGGTGCAACAACTTTAGGCCTATGGTAGTGGTTTTTAGTTTGAAGTTATGTCGGAGAATAATTTTTGGAAACCAAACGTCCTGTCGCAGAATATTGTGGCCCACGCGAATGTAATATGGACGCAGTTCTTCGTCTATAAAGCACCGAAACACACTCGATCTTCCCAAACCCAAAATCTACTGTATTGTTTCAAACGACCGACAGTACCTCATCAAACTATTTTGTTTTATTTCGCCGAATTCTCGTGTGAATGACGTATCAGTAAAAACACAGTTTTTAAAACACTATCTACCATGCGTACGCAGCTCTCAGAATTACTCAGAAATAAGAAGTGTTTATTATTTTATTTCCCTCGTTGTATTGTATTTACGCCAACTCGCCGTCCAATGGCGTTGCACTTGACAATCATCCATTGCGCATGACAACTGTACCCGCACAACACAGACGAAGTGAAATAAAGAATATGGCGATGACCTCGCTCCCTACATCCCAGTGTGGATACGACTGATCTGCGCTTAGACAAAGTGAAGTCGTCTTAGTAATAAGCATTGTGCAGAGGATCATTCGGTGGAATAGAGATCTGTGCATAGAAAGGACATGCAGATACACTTGCATTTTTATGTACAGGTACATTTTGTTTAGAATGTGATACATGTACGTACGTGTGTGATTGTCAGCTGCTTTGTGGAGCGGCCTTGGCACCACAACGCATGAAAAGCAATTACAAGCTGAGGCCCTGACGTTCACATAAACAAAATCTAGCGTCTTTATTGGACATGCCGTTGATACGCTGAATTATAGTATGGCGTTTGATTGCATCGAGAAAGTCGTCAAGTTGTTCTTTTTCAATTACGGTGGTTTCATCGCACGACACCCGTATCCATTTCTTCTCCTTCCGCTCTTGGCCGGAGCACTAGGTGCTGGAATGGTGTTCCTGACGGAGGAAAACAGCATAGAGAACCTGTACACTCCGGAAAATGGGCAGGCAAAGACGGACAGGAACACAGTGGAAACACTGTTTTCCGAACACGGCGACAACGACACATTAGTGTCACACCTGTCGAGACTGCCACGGTCTGGGAGCGTGATTATACGACAGAAGGATGGCCAGAATATCCTGACACAAGCTGCCATGGAGGCTATTTTGAATCTACACGAGCAGATCACGAACATCACCATCCAATACAACAACCAGGAATATAAATTTACGGATCTCTGTGTCAAATGCGACGGCGTTTGTAATGAGAACCCCATACTAGCCGTATATTATTACAACGCCTCTAATGTGCCGTTGACTTCTCTAACGTTTCCACTCTATACACCAGCCGGTACCATCGTGCCTTATTTTCTAGGTGGAGGATTAGGAGAAGTGACATTCAAATCGAATTCTCAAGATGAGGTAGTTTCAGCCAATGCTGTCCGGTTGTCCTACTTCTTACGTTACCAAGACGACGTGGAGGATCAGCGAAGCGCCTTGTGGGAAGAAAAGTTCTTAGAAGTCGTGGAGGCTTTCACTTCATCGGTTGTCAGCGTCACTCGGGAGGTGTCTTCCACACTGGAAACCGAGCTCGACAGAGCGAGCTCCAATGTGGTCAAGGACTTCGCGATCACCTTCACCATCGTGATCACATTCAGCATCTGTTCCTGTGTGATGCTGGACTGGGTGCGAAGCAAGCCGTGGCTGGCCGGCTGCGGCGTCATCTCCGCCGGCCTGGCCGTCCTATCATCGTTCGGGTTGATGAGCTACATCGGCGTGCCATACATAAATGTCGTCGGCTCAGCACCATTTTTAATCTTGGGTAAGTTTTTATTCCCAAGACAGACCAAGCAAACCCAGATTGTTCCTTCTGTGTAATTCATATATTCAGCGTTCAGCGGGTTATAGATTGGGCCGTTCATCAAACCATCAGAGAAACACGTGAAAAGGCATGTACAGAACATTAAAGGAATCAGGAAATAGAAATATTTTTTTATGAATTTGACTAAAAAACCCTTGAAATTGCATCTTTGGGTTTCAATTAACCTTGTTTGGAAGTTTTGTTTTGCAATTTTAACCCATATTTTGATTTTTTTGTTTTTTTATGCTCATGCATATTTCCATATTCATGAGCAGAACTGTGATGTCATCCAACGCACTGAATTTCAATGTTGCACTTATTAGTGCACAGAAAATTTCTAGATTATTTTTAACCACTGCTATGGCAGATTTTATTTTCTTTGGAAATTTATTGCTGTGTACATATATGGCAATAATCCAGCAAAAATCCTGTTCACAGAAATATTCCCAGATAGCAAATTTGGGACTCACAATTTAAACATGAAAACATGCAACCTGAACCGCGTCTTCCTGAATTAACATCAAAGCAAAAGCGCCCTCACCTGTCCAGAAATGCTTGGTCAATTTTTAATGTTTGAAAAACTGCACCGTTCAGTTCACGTAGCTCAAAAAAGATGTCAAACAGTCTTCATTCATTGAAGAAGAGTGCAGGGATACACAAAAATTGATTCCAAGAAAAATTCTGTTCCTGGTTCCTTTAACTTAGTTTTGTGAAAAAACAAAGTGTGGCGGAAAAGCTATATTCAGATTCGAATCGCCACTAAACTGTAAAGGATATCATAATACTGCTTGAACAGTGTTCCAGCATGAATGCACTTAGCGAATAAATATACAAACGATTTTTTAAAATCCCACAATGATTCATTTAACTACTGTCACCCACAAATTCCAAAATCTGACCATGCAATTCTCTGAGTGATCCGAGTGCACATGGCGAAAGCTGTAAGTATTATAAAATGCACAGAAAAGATTCAAGGCTAGCTCTGTACACGTTTATTAAATTATTTCCAACTAACAAGCCACGGATTGATTGAGATTTAGTCCGACCTTTGCATAGTGCCTACAAATTCACTGAGGCTATTCAACTTACACCTTGAAAGTACAAATCGATCAATATTGCATTCCATCTTTTAAGCTCCAACATAATGATACTCGTGGGTCTCAGGAAGCGAGAAACCATGAGAAAATTTGTTCAAACCGGATCATAGCACATTGAGTAAAATTTGAACCGGGACAGCCAAAGCGGAGGGAGGGCAATTTTTTTTGCAACTGCACTCACAATATTGCAGCACAAGTGCCGTTAAAAACATGCGTAACATTCAAGGACAGTAACGAAGACTGTCCTTTATAGTTTCACGGTCACGTATTATGACAGTGAATGTGTATAAAGTGCTGCAAGTTGTACTGTACATAATTGCACGGTTTTACTAACGAGGTCTTGTCATTGCCTACAATTGTAGCGCGTAGAGGTTTTTCATTGTACAAGCCCGGGTGGATGAAAAGTTGTGGAAAATTTGGGATTTGAAAAAGCCCGCTGCAAGCTACTTTGCACAAAATATACCCATCTTTTAAGACACACGTTGTAAATTCGTCTTTAGGAGAAAATGCACTGCTTGAATGTGTGAGAGCTTCTCTCACATTATCTATTTTCAAATTCATTACTTTTAACAAAAGAGTTTATTTTTACATAAGGAGCTCTCAAACGTTCTGTGCTTGCTCATCTATACAGTGACACTTCCAACAGGTAATAGAAAAACAATAATACCGTATCCCTGGTTGTAATTATTCCTAAATATGATATTAGGTGCCTTATCTTCAGGCAAACTTGAATTGTCAGTTCTGATTGGTCGATCTATGGCACCAAATTTGTGGTACACGTATTTAACCGTATTGCGCGGTTCATATCAAATCCTGCGTAATGCGCTGTACTAACTCAACCACAGATATATTAACGCGCAGACCGCCAAGTCCTATTCAAAACTACATGGGTTTTCGTGATCTGCGCGGCGCCCGACTAAAATCAAAACTACAAGCAAATTCACCCCTTGGTATAAGGAATTTACGCACAGCTGAAGAATTCCAGCCATAAAATTCTATGAAGCCATTTTTTGTATTGTAAAAAAACCCCTCTATTTACTTAATTTGGGCGATAAGTATTCAAAACAAATGCGGTTGCAACAGTTGAAAAGAAGACATAGCAGTATCGAAAAGCAAAAAAGATGAACGTATTTGGAAGCAAATGTAAACAAATACAGGAAATATACGTGCGTTCCTCGTAATGCGCACTAAACGTCCACTGTTCCTCCCATAGTTTGCCCATACTTTTCCAAATCACAGTTATACGCGCAAGACTGGCGGTCTATGCTTTGATAAATGTATGTGAGTCCGTGAACTCAAGGCATTGCGCTATTTTACGCTAAAAGCAAACGCACATCTGCATGACTGTAAATTAAAAACGGCGGGTTTGCCCGTGCTGATCGTCATATGTGTTTAAATGAACGTACAATTCCAACAATGTTCTTTCTTAGTGCAAACCCTGTTGTTTTTGTTGTTACCGAAATAAGTTTAAACACAAATGATTCCCATACATCCTAGATAAAATTGCAGATTTGCGGTAAATCGGTGTTACTGTTTTTGCTGCGCGCCGTATGATATCTTTTGTCTTCTTTTTTATGTAAAGCGCGCATAGGCCCTTTACTTTCTTTACTGCGTATGAATTTGTAATCATTCCTAAATATAATACTAGTTGCTTTATCTTCATGCCTCGTGGCATGAGGGAAACACAGATGCACTACATTATTCCATGTTCCACTCGCGCTCGTGTGATAACTAATATTGCAACTACTTGTTTCTTATACTAGACCTTTAATCAATGATCCCGATAATGTATCTTTAGGATCGATAACACAAAACTGTTGGTCCTTCATCATAGCAGCATAGCAAACTGTGCAGCCTTAATTTGAACATTGCACATTTGCCATCGTCATCAAAATGGTGGACTTGGAAGATCTAGTTTGCCTTAGGCCCATGCAGAAGTGGAACGCAAGCGCTGCTTGTGACCGCTTCATGCCTCATGATGTTTGACAAAGGAAACTATAGGGCTTTTCAGGATGCACAAACTGAGTTTCGTGCGCTAATAAATCGAACAGCATTAAACTACCCTTATGCATGAGTTGAAGTGCATCAATGCCGCCTTTTCCCCTTTACACTTTAACATGTGTTAGTGTCAAAACACGCCTTGGTTTGGGGTGTTTGCTTTAATTTAGTTCCGAGTGAAGATTTTCTTGCGGTCAAGTGGTTCTTTAATATTTGACATGTATTGGAAAGGTGAACTTTTATACGCAAGTGGTGTAATTTGTTTTTCTTCAAGATGAGATGGTTGACCCCAACAGAGAAAAATCGTGACACGAAAAATTACGCCTAGGCCTATAGGTTAAAGAAATTTAGCGAGCAAGTCACGTAAAACGTGTCACAAAATAATTCCTGAGACATGTGAGTCTCTACTGTAATCATAAAATTATCCCCTGCATTACGTTTATTGCTAGAATGAAAAAAAATGGAAAAAAGATAAGAAATTAACATGGTTTTCCCGGTCAATACACCGGTGGCCCGGTTAATTATACTGCAAACCCGAATACTAGCTTCACGAAGGCTACACTCCTTTCAATACTGGATTTACATGCAGCGCTATTTAAGTGCTGGATCATACCCACGTTGTTCAAAGCCTCATCAAAATCTAAAATTCAAAGAGGAACGTAAGTATTTTAAATGACTGCATGCATTTTGGGGCGAACTGTGGTATTTTTGTATTGGTCACAATTTCTTTTTCGTAGAGAGCCTGGGAACCGTGAATATTGGGGTGCTGGATAATCCGACGTTACACGGCGCATATTCTATTTTAATGTGCCAGAATATGCAGTTAAGAGAACTTGTTGCAAGCTTGTTATTTTTCATAATTTTTGTGCAAGTTTATATCCCTGGTTCGCGATTTGCTCTATACATTATAGTTGGGTCTTAGCTGCGCTATCCTTTGCTTCAAATTAAACCACACTGTAGTGATGCTGCAATCACTTAATCGCCTGGGTGAATAAAAAAGATGAATGTTTCCGTATGTTTATTACATCAATCAATTTATCAAATAATTTTTTTTTCTGGGAATATTAACACTGATTTCTCTACAACTTGTGGAGACAGCGCAGGTTTTCTGTCTAGTGGTGTCGGTAATGAACTTTTTTTGCGTGATCAAATAATAGCCAAACATGAATAGAACTTAAGCTGCATTTTCTGATTACCCAGTCTGAAGCCAAAATATAGCAATTTTTAGGAGTTTTAAACTTTGTTTTACAACGTGGTGTACTTTGTAATCCTTGTTTTGTCAGTGGTTAGCTTCAGTGTTATTCCTTTGTAAAGCAATCACGAATACGTTGAAATGCTAATCATAAAATATGGTTACACGCATTACTCAATTACTTGGATCTACATGAATACATTTTATAGTTTCTATATAATCTGATGTACCTAAAGACTATTTTACTTCCGTTCTACGACAAATGAGCCGTTATTGCATTTTACCGCACAAATTTCCTGAAACGGTTACAAAACAAAATCAACATCAAAATGTATTTGATAGTCGGTAAGATTTGGACGCTAATGTGTGTCGTCAACAATGGTGTGTGAAGTATTATTTTGACCATCGTTGCTTTCCAACCTTATCCTTGTTAAATACTGTCAGTTTTCACTAACACCACGATAATTAGCCGCAACATGTTGTCCCCGAAAGCCTGCCATATGCCACCTTAGCACGCGCCATCAACCGATCTCTATCGAACTTCAAGATAACTATATTTAAACGCATAGCTTAAAGAAAATCAAATTCAACATTTCTGCGACGGAATTCATACTGCCTGTGGCATCTTCGTCCCAAGACTTGCGCATGAAAACAATGATTTATTTTTTCAGTTCCCCAAGTGGAATTATTTTATCCGTGAAAAAGTCCGGTAGCGCGCCATCACCGATCTCTATCGAAGATAATTACATCCAAATGCATCGCTTAAAGAAAGTTAAATAAAAAAAATGTCTTCCCAGACATTAAAAATGTCTGGGAAGGAATTTATACTGCCTGCAGCATCTTCGTCCCGAGAAGTGCACATGAAAACAACGATTTCGTTTTTAGTTCAATTCCCAAAAGGATGAAAAAGTCCGAACAGCAAACTGTAGAAATTGAAGGAAAAATAATTAAAAAAAATGTTTGTACTTAGTTTCACTTGAATTACAACCTTGGAGCACACAAAAACACCATAGCAACTGGTGTCTCAGTAAGGTTTAAAAGTTTAAATTTTAAGTCTATGCATGCAAGAAAGACATTATACGTATTTGCACTTTCGAGTGATATTATATACACGATTCACACTTTCGTTCTATCTATCCTTTAAGGTATTGGAGTTGACGACATGTTCATCATGTTGGCGGCATGGCGACAGACTGACGTTCGATGGCCAGTGGAACAGCGCATGCGCCATGCCTTCTCTGAGGCCGCCATGTCTATTACCATCACGTCCATCACAGATGCCCTGGCTTTTGGAATTGGAGCCATCACCTTCTTCAGATCTGTCCGCATATTCTGCATGTACACAGGCATGGCTGTTATCTTTGACTACGCCTTTCAGATCACTTTCTTTGGCGCCTGCATGGTGCTCACCGGCCGACGTGAGGCAGCTAACCGGCATTGTATGTCGTGCCTCAAAGTCAAACCCAAAAGTGAATCCTCATCCACGGCCTACACCATATTCTGCGCTGGTGGTTTATCCCAGCAAGCTTCTGACAGGGACGAAGGTGATACCAATGACCACGCCCTGATGCTGTTCTTCAAAAATTACTACGGCCCTTTCATCACACGCTGGTGGATGGTGATCCTGACAATAATACTGTTTCTGGCCTATCTGGGCACCGCCATCTACGGATGCACCCAGGTTCGCGAAGGTCTCGCTCTCAGAAACCTTGCCCGGGACTACTCTTACGCGGCCGACTTCTTGGACGACGAGATGGAGTATTTCACGGCTTATGGTCCACAGGTTTCGCTGGTGTTTATTGAGCAGAGAGACGTGTGGAATCCCGTGGTGCAAGATCTCATGGAGGACACTCTAGCAAAGATGGAGGCGAACGAGTACACCTATAGCAAGGATCGCAATCTAACCGTGTCATGGCTGCGAGACTACCTTGACTTCCTTCAGACCATCAACCTCGTTAATCCAACCAAGTCGCAGTTCATCAACACGCTGCGCCACACATTCCTGGAGATTGCCGCCTACCAGAAGTACTCGCTGGATATTGTCTTTAACGCTGACAACACCAGTGTTGCGGCGTCGCGATTCTTTGTCACCACCAAAGACTTGGACTCCACCGAAAATGAGCGATACATGATGACAGACTTGAGACAGATAGCCGAGGAGGCTGAGCTACCCAGCATAGCCTACCATCCAGCCTTTATCTTCTTTGATCAGTACGTCGCCATCTTGCCCAACACATTACAGAATCTGGGGATCGCCGTGGGCGCCATGTTGATCGTGGCCCTGCTGATGATCCCCAATCTCATCTGTACTGTGCTGGTCACTCTTTCCTTAGCCTCTATTGTCACAGGGGTGGTGGGATTCATGACTCTGTGGCAAGTGAACCTCGACTCTATCGCCATGACCAATCTCATTCTTTGCATAGGTTTCAGCGTGGACTTCTCCGCCCACATCAGCTATGCTTACATCTCTGCTAACACAGGCTCCCGTCGAAGCAGTGTTGTACACAGCCTCTACTCTCTGGGCATGCCAATCGTTCAAGGGTCTCTCTCCACCATACTCGGTGTCGTAGTACTCGCCTTCACAGACTCTTACATCTTCCGCACTTTCTTCAAGACTATGTTCCTTGTGATCTCCCTGGGGGCGCTGCACGGCCTGCTCTTCCTCCCGGTATTCCTCCTGCTCACGATTCCTGTGAAGACTCGCCGAGTGCAAGACTCCAGCGAGAATCTGAGAGATGGTCGCCTCGCCATCAGCCCACACGACAGTCCGGAGAAAGCCTTTGCCATGCAACCGTATCCGTCAGCCGTCGACAGTGCGAATCGAGAGCCCACCACCGCTTCATACCATCCCTATCGGTCACAGTCAGTGCCATACAGCATCAGCGCCAGTGTTGCGGACTCCAAGCCCTCCTTCATCACCTGCCACCAGCAGCCATTGCAAAACAGTGACCATTGGCAGAAGTGGGCTTTGTCCGGAAATTTTGCCATTCCTAGAGCAAGGCCTACTTCAGCCCATAGTATGAGGGAGGGAATTTACCCTCCATAATCCAGCAAGCAGAAGTGGCCTCACTTTTAATTTGGGCACGTGCACAGTTGGGGCTCTACGTTGCGAAAAAGTTATTTATGAGGGCTGTGTCAGTTTCAGGTGAGGGTTTACTACAGCAGAGCACTCCCCGGAGTACAACCTGCCACATTTTGGCAAAATTATCATTTGAATGATATATATTTTGTAAAAGCTGAAAGTAAAACGTTTGCTGTGAGTTTCTGAAGTGTGTATTGTAATCGGTGTTGGAAGTTATTTTTCCATTCTGTTGGCAAAGATTTCGTTTATGTCTGTATTTAACTATGACATTATTATTATCCACCAAGGACCCTTCTCAGAAACGATTGGTGTTTGTCACTTTTCCTTCGTATGATAACGATTTTTAAGTAAACGAGACTGCACAGATTGCACGTTCATTTTGTCGCATTATTTCAACAGTGACAGTTTAACTTTTAATTAAAGTGAAGTCTTGTTGAAATGGATGAAAAGAATTGGTTTCAAATTTCTCAGTTGAAAAAAGAAATACCTGTTGATTTGTTTTACATTTTGAGAGACTTTACATCAATAAGTGTTGTTTGCCATATCGTTTTAAACAATTGATACCAATCACAGACATACAATTGCTTAATTATTTCTAAGCAAAGCTACATTTAAATATGATGTCAACATGCTTGTATTAAAAGTAAAGTGTACTTTTTGCCATTGTGCATGTACGCCATTGCCGGATAAAACATCCCAAAAGTCACGTAAAAGAGGCCCTTTCCAGCCACATTTGATATTGATCAATCAAAATTAATATATATGAATCTGTATATAAATATCCCTTTATTCGGACTCGTATTTTGGGTTTCCCTTTTTTCTATATTTTTAAAAAGAATAATGGTTATTAGTCTGAATTTCTTTATTGATCTTAAATTCTTCATTTGAAGTCTAACGTCAGCACTATCTTTACGGTTTTGTTCAATAACTCTGGCATTCGAATTCTTGGAATTAGACAAAGGAATGGTCAGATCAAGACTATGAGATTTCAGGCCCTGCAAGTTAAAAAAGGCCTTGGAGGTGGGAAAAAGCAAAAAAAAATAATTCTCTTAATTATCCTCCCGGGTTTAAAGTGCACTCTCTACAAGGTCGAGAAAGGTTTATTGCATGGGAAGGAAATCAACGGAATACTAAGGGAATAAAATGTGCTTGGCCGGTCTTAAACGTTCTCCAAGGTAAATACAGAAATTTTCTTGCTGCATTGTTAAAAACGTTTATTACTCAATGTGAATTTTTGGAAATATTAGTAACGATATCTATGATATGAACTCACAGAATTATTTTTGTTTGGTATTGATTGCAGTGTTTTAACATCTTGGGTGAATTACGGAAGTCAACTTTTCTTTTCAATTTGTTATTGGAAGAAATGAAAATAAATGGTGGCACACAAAAAGTGAAAGTTTTTAAGTTTATTCATTTGACGCAGGTTGTGTGATAGTAGGCGGTGGACAAGATACAACTGTGCTGTCCAGCGCAGATGTGGTCTCTAGTGAGGTGCTGATTACGACAAACGATCCAGTTGAAGGTGGTCTGCTTTCAGTACGACTGGCTGGTGACTTTCTCGCTTCATCCTCCACAGAGCCTTGTGGTGATTTGACATTAAGCACTGAGCCTCTCCGTTTACTCTGAATAGATTCACTGGATGCCTGTCTCGATACTGCTTTATCTATTAACAGCTGCTGCGCTCTATTTGAGGTGGAACAAGGGCGGGATGGAGCGGACCCTTTGATCATGGCTTCTGAAGGTGAATGCATGGATGAACTGCAAAGGCCTATAGCTGTGGAAGCAGCTGGTGATACTTTGATGAAGCGCACGAAACAGCCTGATGCTTTATTTGACATAAGCTTGCCGACGCTTGAGGACGTAAGCTTCCCCGACCTACGCCTGGCACTGAATACTGACGGCGCTGGGCTGACCTTGTTCAAGCGGACAGATTCAGTCGACGGTAGCTTAGTGACCCAGGATCGCTGTTTGGTTCTTAGGAACCACCTCAGTGATTGGCAGGAGCTTGATGCTTCTCATGCCTCGAGATCGGCTTCTAAGAGCTGTGCGCAGACATTTTCTCAGGACCAGGGTGGGCTTTGAATGCGAGCAGTGAGGAAGTACACAGTCTTGGCTTGGGAGAAGCTGAAGTAGGTGACCTTTGTTGAGATCGACGACCCAATGCAACCGAAGTTGACTCGGCTAGCCGTGATATTGTGGCCAACGAGGAAACATGTGGCTTAGTGTCCGGCTCTTACCATGCATCTCCTTGAGACTTGACTATAATAAACAAGCATAATGGCAGAATATTTATGCCAACATATCATGAAGTTTATTTGTGCTTTGTACAAAATATAATGAGGAAGCTATGATGGTAATACATGTACCTATCATCTTTAAGCATACTCTTTTTCTCTCCTGCAAAGCTGGGTCTCTTTTGTACTGGTGATGGCTGTCTATAAACATCTTTGCCACCTTTAGGCTGCATACTTTCGGCACTTGTGGAGGGCGACTGACCTATTGCTTCAACATGCAGTTCAGTGCATTTTGTTATTTTATCGTCTGCTTTCACCGCCTCTTCTCCGCTGTCTTTTACAGCCTCTTTCTGCACGATTTTTGTAATGTCCAGAATCGCTTGCTCTTCTGTCGTTTCTTGTTCTTCCTCTTTGTTTGGAATTTGTCTTTGTTTTCTCTAAGTTGCCCGGAGTCAGGTCCTTGAACAGTGTCAACCTCCGATCTCTCAGTAATTTTCTCTGTGTAGGGTTGAGTTACAGAATCTTATTCCTTAATACTTTTCATCTCTTGGATGTGGTTTGGATCTACATCACGAGGCTTCAGTGCATCATCTTCGGGAGTAGACGTGCTTTCTACACCTCTCTTTGGATTCAGAAGGATCATACTTCTGACTACTACAGACAGCCGACAAGTTGCCGACTATAGCTTCGTCTGAATTTGCGTCTGTCAATGCTTATCATAAAGAACTGTCAGGAAAATGTTTTATGAGTCTCTCAATGTCGATATGGAACTGGGCTTAACTCATCATACTCCTGAAAAATCACAACTCCAAGTAATAGATGCGAATTAGAAGCACATTAAAGGGAAGCAAGTCGAGAATCAGTGTACTAAAATATTAAGAAGACGTTGTGGTTCCAATAAAGTTTACTTAGCGAGTAACTTATTGCAGGTAACACATACACCGTTGACAATTTCGGCAGTGTTAGTAGAAATGTGCATTAGTTTGCCAGTGAACGTTATCCTCATAAGCAAGTGCTTCCTCGATTTCTGTTTCTCCCAGCAATCAAGAGGATCTGGTTGAACAAAACCGTCCTGCTTCCCTGCAAGAGCTGTGATGTCACATTGGAAAGGGTTCTCATGGTTTTCCATGTAGGCCTGGACAATTTCTATCAAGGCCTCTATGCAGGGTAACATACGTCGCTTTAAAGCAGTGTTAAAGAAGGTCTTGTCATCCATGAAACTGAAGTTCACTTTCGTGATCTTCTTGCAAAAAGCTTAGGATAGTCATCATGCGTCTTCCTCAATTTGTCAAAAGTTTCGGGCGAGATGTCGAGTCCCTCTGGATGAGGGTAGGGTAATGTCGGAGCATAGCATGCAATAACGAAGAAATGATGGGGACTGATGTTACCTTCGTTCAGACAGAGATGCGCAGCTTCAAATGCATTCAGGCTTCTCGTGCTGTGACCGAAAAGAACGAAGGGAACATCTGACAGATAGGGTTGAGCTTTTCGTGAACTAGGTGTACGATGTCTTTCAAGTTGACGGGTGGCTGTTCGTCTTCATGCCCTTCCCATCCTAGCAGCTAAATCATCATAACGTGGATGCAAATACAAGCATCGGCTTTATCCAGTGCGTAACTAGTGAAGGTCCTGCGCTGTTTTAAGGGCACCCAAGGTGCTGACTGAGAAGTGTGAAGAAAGTTTTGATGACCAAGCCCTTGGCTTTTTGGGACGGAAGTTTCGCAGTTTACTGCAGAAGGCTGTCATTACTGTTAGAACGGTACACGTCGCTGTCTTGAAACAATTCTTTCATCATGGATATGGTTCCGTAACTATGTTCTCTGCAGTGTTGTATCATGAGGGCACGGTATTTTTCTGCCCAGAGTTTCAAATTAATTTGAAGGAACCCGAAAACCCAAGCTGCTGTTAGCGAACCGACAAGGCACTGCCCATAGCTGCCAGAACCTCGTTTGGGCTCATACTTCCCGCTCCCATCTTCTCCCACATTTGAAGTAGACCACTTCTAACTGCAAATCCAACATCATTAATCACACCTATCTGCACCGCAGTGGCAGGTAAGTTGTGACTGCGACGATAATGGGCGAGAGCGTTGAGGAAGACATTGGCAGCACAGTAACTGCCTTGTTCTGCATTGCCAACCAGAGATACAACGGAAGATGTCATAATGAAATGACTGAGTTTTATGTCAAATTTCTGAGTCAGCTGGTGTAGCAGAAGTGCTCCATAAGCCTTCGGAGCCATGACTCTGTTCTAAGACTTTGCAGTGATATTTTGGTAGCGCTTTGTAGCAGTGACTCTGTTCCAAGACTGGGCGCAATGCAATATGACTCTCGGAGCAGGCCAACTCCCATTCTTCATGTTTTGCAGCACTTTTTCTGCATCGTAGGCATTGGAAATATCCATATGAATGTGCTGGACCTGAGCACCTACTTTCATTCCCTTCTGCTTGAAATCTTTCAAGTCGTTATTCATTCCCCCTCTTGAACCAACATAATATAGAGCTCCTCTTGATATCAACCACCCTAAAAGGCGGAGACCAAACCCCCTTGTTTCCTCCTGTAATGAAGTAAGACGATTGTCCCTCAGCAACAAAGCAGTCATTCTCTAGAGAAGGCAGTAGCAGTATCTCGGTTGATTGAACATAGATAACTTCGTTTGTAGGAATGTCCACTTTTTTGCTGCCGGAGAACACAGTTTCTTCAAGTTGTTGTGTTTTTAAGCTATCGGGTGACCATCCTTAACTCTAGGGTTAAACATCTCCCAGAGATCAGACAAGGTATTTGAAATCTCAGCTCTGGGATAATCCATTCACTGCTTATCTTATTGAGGATCAGTATCGAACGTAACAACCTTCACCTTTGAGGGAGCACAGAAATTCTTCCTTCGTATCCTTGTCTTTGCATGATCACAACGGTAGTGTTTCTTCCCAACGTTGGCAGTAGAGAATGCAGTGTATGATCCAGGGAGGATTCTGTCAGAGACAGAGACAATATGTCGACGGATGCTTCAACCAATTCATTCAGGGACTTGACAGATATCCCAGTATGAGATAAATCAAGATCATTAGGACCATCTTTCAACAGGAATGCTTCAGCACCCAATTTATTTGATAGGTGCATAGTTGCAAAATTACAACTATCAAGGGAATCAACCTTCAAACTGATACATACCCCTCAGATATCGGTACACTCTGCTTGAAGAATATAGCCGTTGGAAGGCAATCGCTGGCCTTGAGGTGGGAAGGTACCTCTGTTAAACCTTTTGAGAGAGATGATTTAACGGCTTAAGTCCTAATTATAAGTCTTGAATATCTTTGGAAGTTGATCCGTTGACTATACCAGTGTAGACAAATGTATGGCCCCGACTCCATGGAAAGCTGTAAAAGATGCAAAGCTTCAGACTTTGTTGTGTCTACGACAGTTACATCAAAGACATCTTCTTTCATCAAGTTCAGGATGAATTTACTTCCTGCTTACCCGGGAAGAAAACTAGCTTCTTGGCGGTTTAAATCTCAGCTGGCTCATTTGTGATTGTCAGAGACCCAACATTTTCCCAAGCTATTTTCCAAACCTGAGTCTCCACACTGTCAGTTTAAGTGGTTTCAAAATAAGTTGCCTGAGAAAAATACTTTCTTTGTGTTTGCGTCTGCCAATTCAATATCGCAAAACCTCACCTGACATGATCATCTAAAGGTCTGCTAAGTCTGAAATCAATCTGATAAGATTATTAAAGAACTATCAAAGAAGTATGAAACTATCAGAGTCCCCTGTCAAAAAATTAAGTGTACAAACCCAATGGAGAAATGTCTGAAAAGGAAAAAAACTTTAACGAAAGTAATACATGTATCTGTTTCGGCAATGAAGCCGAAGCAGCAAACTAGCGATAAGAAAAGATCAGTACATACAAGTAAATTCCCCGGTGAAGTAGCAAAGCTCCTGAAGTATGGTGAAGTTATCCGCCAAACTGAGAGCGGAGGGGGCAATTTTAACCACGGTGACGTGACATTTCGAAAGCTCCACCAAACCATAGAGCTTTCATTCGATCTGTTCCACATTGAGCTATACCTTAAAGCCTTCCCATGGGGACTCCGATTCACTGACGGTGTGGGAAACAACAACGCTCGTCATAAACTTGCTTTTCGAGCCACTAATTCAAGTCTCCTCAAGGGTTTCTGCTTTCGGTTCATTCGAGGGCAATACTGCGACGGGCCATGCAGTTTCAAACATGCATGTTACCAATGCTCAGGCAATCATTCTGCAGCGCGGTGCTGGCAAGCACGGCCTCAATCCTTCCCAAGTAGATCACCAGGAAGGGGATCATTCACAAAACCTACAATGGCCGGATTCGGCCAACAGCAATCCAAATTTGTCAACAACGGCACCCAAAAATTCAATCCAGGGGTGGTGCTTCAAGAGGGCGGGGCCAACCCACCCATGGACAAACCAACAACTCCAGTAAACAAAACAATGTTACAATCCTTGTTAAAAGGATACGATCCGGAAATTTGTCAGTATCTAATGGATGGTTTCACATTTGGGTTTAAGCTGGGTTTTGATGGTTTGGGAAAAGAAAGACTTTCTAAAAATCCACGATCTTCACTGGAGCAGACCAGTGTAGTTAGCACAAAAATCAAAGCTGACCTCGATAATAATAGAGTTGCAAGACCATGGGTGAACACCCGTGAAAAATGGAACCCACTGTTGTAAACTGTAGTTTTAATAATAAACCAGTTTCCAAATCGCTGTTACACTGTAAATAAAAACACTCTAGTGGGTATCTGGATTTGTTTTGTCAGGAGTGCATTCCAGAACAAGAACTCTTGATTTTCGTTTTCAATGTATTTTATTCGTTTCCTATGCCTACTTACTGTTGTAATATTTTCGAAGGACACTTCGTTTGCTGTTTGGTTGTTTTAAATCCTTATCCTGATTTTTGTCCTGATTCATTAAATTTCGGGAAATTTAAAGCACGGCAGAAATCGTTTCAAGATCTTTTTAAGCGACGATGCTTTCTAGAATTTCATAGGACCCCAGAAATAAGAAATTTTGAAAAGAACATTGTAAGAACTCACCAGGAGGCATGTGAAAGAATTGCCTGTTGAACACGAATGGATCTTGAGAGATGCAACCACCATTTTGGATGCACGTCTTGCCGGCCATCTTCTCTCCAGGACTCAGGAAGTAGCTGGCATCGAAAGGATCTGGCGGTATGGGCGTGGTGCAGTCCAGCCCATGCCCAAGAACTTCTTGACATTGTCCACACCGTTGCCATAGCGACAGCGTATGCCGACAACGGCAACCTGTCGGTTTTCCCGCGAGCGTCCTGCGTTCATGTTTCAACCATCTGAGGCAGAATTGGCTTCTCAGTCGCCCTGTAAATTACCGGGGAAATTCAAGAAAGGATGTACATATCCCCAAACAATGTATCAGTTAATTTGTGGGCACCTAAAATCGATGCTTTTCTTTCTATGGAGGAAAGGGCTCTAAATAAATCAACTACAGTGTAGTAACCAGTGTTCTTGACCGTAACATTTGAAATAAGCTACACCGACAACTTTAAGCTTCCAAGAGACTATCCAAAACTTTATTGTATGTGCCTTCAGTGCAAGACTGTCGTTTCCAGGTTTCAATAAAATATCTTTGTAAACAAACGCCCTGCCTTCACACAAGAATTATACAGAGTAATATCGATAGACTGCAGCAGTAAGATTGCGGAAAAGGTTTTTTGTAAGCCTCAAGCTAGCAATGTTGATTGTAGGTATTTTCACTCAAAAGATATGCATACTCTTGTATAATGAGAATGGCCCTTTATCAATAAAAATTGTTTTCGAAACTGAATTTTATTATTGGTCAAGTGCTGCTTTAAATTAGACGTACAGTAAATCTTAATCAAAGAAACAATATTTGTATATAGGACTTGTAAAAACTTCGATAGAAACTTATTAACGAAGGTCAAATTAAAAAAATAATGTGCCCTTCCATACAAGGCCGGTTTAATGCAGTGACACATATTCTTTAGTGAAATCCATTTGCAAACATATTTTTCGCAATCACAGACACTGGCGTGACCGAAAGTGTTACCAAACCACTGTAAGCAAGGATCAGCTTTACGAGCGTGTAAGTCGTTACATGGCAGTGCTTGAGATCATCCGTCAATACATCAAGCCAACATGACAGAGACTCTGACAAGCACTGGTCCACTTCAAATTAATTGTAGTTATTTTTTGCAATAGATTTAGTGAGTGTTTGATCGTGGTTTCACCTCCCCTGCCAGAGGATGAACCAAAACGATTGCAAACGCGGAATCAAGTTTTGGTCTCTCAATGATGACGACGTCAATGATATGTTCCAACTAAGTAGCATTCTTATGTTGTATATTGTAAGTCTTACACGGTTTAAATGAAAGCTTTCAATATCAACATTAATATATTGACATCTTACAGTTAGCATAGAATCGAAATGAAAAAAAGGAGTAGGCTAAATTCCGTAATCAGACTGAAAAAAAGATTTTGTAGACAAGAAGCATACTGTAACGTTGACCGCTTCTGAGGTCTGTCCACGCCGATACAATGAGGCCTTTTTCGTAGGTTGCCTTGGCTCTCAGCAGTTTTTTTCGGCAGACTTTCCTGAAATTTGCTCCAGACGGAAAAAAAAAAAAATTGCAATGTGTTTCTCACAACGGTATTGCGCCAGTGCTGCGGTAACGGGTCTCCCAGGCTGACCGTTAGGGGCCCACCACACAGCTCTATCATGGATCCGTGCTAGCGCCCTCACCGGTACGTCATCCTGCGCCGACGTTACAATACAGTTTTAAAAGCTATAAACCTACGAAATGCACCTCTCCACTAAATGTTCCATACTTCTTTCTGGAGATGTCAGCCTTTTATCAGTGGTTCTCCCGCAAGTCGTTTTGGACAACAAATCTGATAATTCCCACATGATGGGACGTCCATATCGGGTGGAGGTCACGGACACCTTTAGAGCCTGAAAGTTAATTTCCGATGGCACACTTGGTAAAAGGGAAATTGGTAAAAGGCAAAAGGCTGATTGGATATCTGATTTAGCTAGTCACCTGCCCTTGCCCGTCTGAACGACTAACTTGACCGCTGTATCGAACGACACATACTTTACCTTATCATTCGTCAATGAATGAAGTCGTTAATCGACCCCCGTTTGGAAATGAAAAATGATGTACCAACCTGAAAATCCTTGGCACTTTCTTTGGCACAAGTCCAATAGGGGAGCACTACAAATTCTAAAAAGGGGGACACGCAAAGGGTCCTGCGATTTTACCTGCTTGAATCTCTTTTGCAAGTTTCTGTTGTACCATTTCGGGTCATAATGCAGCCGATCGCAGCCAGTCCGAGACTCTATACGTTCTAAGGCCAGTGTACCCAATCGGAAATCCCTTGGGAAAACCCCTCAATAAAAAATGCTCTATCTGAAATGTTATGATCATCGCTCAGTAGCGAAAGCAAGACCATCAAGTTAATTGGCGTTGGAAGAACGAAATTTGGCTTTGCCAGTTGGGAGAGATGTTGAATTTTTATTTGACGTAATTGCGCCTTCTTGGGTACCAATAGGGACATTTGTAGCGGGGAGTCACTTAATCCTTTTGCCAAGCCCCCTCTCTCCACTCCTGATTGGTAACGCCTTTGACCGTTCTGCATTCGGCAAACGGCTGCCCCATGCCCGGAACGCGCGCATTTGTGTTGATATTTACACCCCCCCCTAAATTGCATCAGTTCGGACTGTTAAAAGCAAACCACAAGCCGCTGGTATTCCCCACCCGTGACGGACCCCGCTTGCTAGTGTTACCCTAGTTGCATCACAGGAAGCTACTGTCAGCCATAATTCAAAATCTTATTCGCCTCATGATCTGTTAGGCCGAGTTTCTAGCCGCAGACGAAACTGTTCGTCATAATACTTCGCCAACCGCGGCCTGGGAACTGAACCGACGCCGTGCACACAATCTCTGTATATTTAAGAAGTTTGTTGACCCAGTGAGGAAACATCATCAAGTAAACACGAATGTATGAAAGGCTGAGACCCAATTGTCCCATGAATCAAATTTGCCTTGCCAGGTTATTTTAGGCCCAGTCAAACGCAAGAACATTTTATCATAATCAATGACAAGCGCAATTTCAGTTGCGCGACTACTTCTGGTCAACTGTCCACGAGCTGCCACCTGCCGTAAACGATGGAGAAGTAACGACAGGGCTACAGGAAACTACTACCACCCCCCACCCCCGAATTATAATCTGTACTAAATGTACTTTTAAATGGCGCATTACTCAATATTTGGCGGAACTCACCGGCAACGTGACTGATTGAGCCGCCTGCCTCTGGCTGGTTTCAGGGGTAGGACAACACCGCACGAGGCATAAAAGCTGAAATACAGTTTAAAGTCCAGGCACTCCTCCATTCCTGGCTGCGACCGAAAGTGGCGCCATCGCCTTGGTCAAGAATGCTGCAGAATGTGTGGGCTGATTCAATCCTCCTTGTTCCGGTGCGGGCTGGAGCACGCTGGCAAGCTGGCAAGGCATCCGCATTGGTGTACGCTTGACTGCATTTGCATGCTAGCTGATAATTCCATACTGACTCGTCGTCCCCATCGATGCATGCGGCACTGCATTTGTAGTCTGATGGTTAGGACCACTGGCGCATGCTGGACTACATGTACTGTACATTTGCACTCATCGCAGCCTAAGTTGTTAACCCGACAGGTGCAGGGAGCGCCGTTGTCGCCTGCGTTGAGGGCTGGGCCACCGCTGATTCCTGACGTGATGCATCATTGGCACTTTTCCCGCCTTGGCTCCCACCTGGGACATCGCGGCTCTGTCCTTCCTGACGTGCCGATCCCTCTGGCGTGGCACCCGGGGTTTTGCGAGGTCTCTGGCGGGGATGTGGTCCTGCTTTAACTAGGCTGTCTAGCTGCTCGTTTGCACCTTGGCCTACCACGCGGCATTTCCTCCTTTCGCTGTATTACTAATCAGGACCCTCTCGGAGAATTCCTCAATATACTCGCATAACTCAATAGACGATTTTCCGAGTCCGTCTATGAAGTGTACTAATGTCTCCCGAAGTTACATATATGCACCCGAAATATCTTTCGACAAGAGACGCTAATGAAAAACGGGATTAAATTATTACAAGTGACCACTGATGCGGAATACGTGAATCAGAGACAAAAAGGGGCATTCCCAGAACTGGCCCTAGCTCATTTCGCGCGCTCCCACTGAACCCCATACGCTGATTGGTTAGCGCTAGGTTTTTTGCACTGCTCCTTGGCCTGCTAATATCACGTCCGCAAAGTTTACAATCAGACGCTGTAGGCGGCCGCTTGCACACGGCAGAAAGAAATATTCTCTCTTATTGGCCAATCCAAAGGACCAGTCTAGAAATCATCTGCCCTCACACGAGCGGTGCCCCTCAACGATGCGCGCTTCTGGGTTAAACTGTATTTTAGCCTTTTCAGCAGGTGGCGTCGAGTGTAATATATTTTACCCATTACGGGGTAAAATGTGTTATGAGTACTGGGTTCGATCCCTGTCAGTCAGTAGTAAAAGGCTCAAAGAAAAACATTCCCGACAAAACGCTGTGTTTGTTTCGCAAAAACACAAGTTTTGTTTCCTAAAGTCCCTATCAAAAGCCACTCGACTTTGTATACGATTTTCTAGAAGCCAGATTTGTCATTTGCAATCTCGTATCATCACCAAAGTTCAACCGGAGAAACACCCATAAATATATGCATACATGGCTCTACAGATTTATTATGCAATACAGATTTTTGTCATTACACCTCCATTGACTTTGTTCACAGTTTCTTGAAATCGTTTTATCAATTTGCTGTCTTGCATCTACATCAAAGTAACACGAAGCAAAGCCTTTGATACAAAGATGTTCATAGAATGATATCACGATGACCTCATTAGGTGACAGTGTACAAGCAATTTTATTCTAAAATTTCTAATCAATACCAATCAATTTGATCAACCATATCTTCCGGCATCATCTTTTCTGCGGAAGTGATAAAGTTTGGTCTTCATTTTTATCTCGTGTACGTAAAATTGCGTGACCCTTGCTGGTGGGAACCGAAAATGTTTTATTATTAAAAATTTGTAACAAATATGAACTTACTTTCAACGGTGCTTGTCCCCAAGCATAAAGTTTTTTCAAAACGTGAGTCCGTGAAATCATGCAATATTTGAGCCCTCTGGTTGCAGGATAAAAATACAGAGGTATTTGGAGTTGATATCTGTAGCGAAATTGAAAGCGGGGAAACATCCATAAATCGTATAAATAGAATTTTCCTTTTTGGATCTTAATTTTTTAGTAGAAAATAGATGAAATAGTCCTTTGGAAAAATGATAACATGATGACGTGATTATCGGTCCTGTGAAGTCATCCATTATGTTTGAATTTCAAGCTCATGAACGGTAGGTCTGATTGGGATAAAATTTTGTTTGTAGATATATTATTATTAAAATTAAGGTGATGTCATGATGATGTCATCAAGTGGCTTTTATAAAATGTTCTATTCGTAATTTTCACTTTTCTGTCAAAATACATTGTAACTAAACAAGATAACGTTACAATTCTATTTGCAAGACGCTTACTATGCCTAATGGAACTGTGGGTAATTTATAATATTTTGTGAAGGCACGAGTACGGTTTTTCAAACACATTATAAACAGCATCCGATCAGCACGATCATTTTCATGCAGATGCGTGACAATAACGTCATCAGGCAATTTATTTTTAAATGAATAATACTAATAAAAGACATTGACTATGTGCACAGTTTTCTTAGGGATTTTATGTGGTCACATTGCAGTTTTTCTTTTTCATCTAAGTGACATCAAGGAACAGCTTTTGTGCGTAGATTGTTCTGGTATAGTTAAATCGTGATAGTATCAACATGTTATGCCTCCAAAATTGAATTCTTGGCAGGCCAATATCTCTACAACCATTAATCCCACTAAGATGGACGCTTTGCATGGACCGCCAAACAAGTATGTGTTATGTATGTTAAAATAGGGATGAAGTCATAACGATATCATCAAATCGATCATTGTTTTTTCTTGTGTTTCCGTTATATTGACAAATTTGTTGAGCGATGATAAATTAAATTAGAACAAAGGATATTTCAAGTTTATTTTCTTGAAAGAGTTCTGTTGTGTTAACCAATTCCTGTGATTTTACGATGACGTAGTGAAGTGATAATTTGTAGATATTTCAATATTTCAAAAATAATTTTTCATTAATAAAAAATAAGTCAAAAATTACCTGCAGCTTGCATCTTTATGCAGGATGCGGAAAAGGCCTCTGGTATGTTGCAAACAGACAAAGGATCTCTAGTTTTCTTCTTTTGTTTGTTTAAGTTTTTCTACTTTGGTAGTTAAATTAAATTTGGTGACTCTTCATAATTGACAGACCCTCAGACAACCAGCTAAGGATGGCCCTAAAAGGAATTCATACCGATGACGTCATCTGGGGTCATGTAAAATAAGATTTTTTCGTATGCTTTATATGCGTTTCTCTAAAGCCAAACATGTAAGCAGTGTTATCAATCTGGCATCATATTAGGTTCATCGTAAATCCACGAGCCGTAGACGGTCTCTGAGAAGTCGTCATGTTGATGTCATCACGTGCCATGTGATATGACATCAAGTTCAAACAGGTTGAAACCTGGGCCCAAATACACAGATCTGCTTGATAAATAGTAGAAAAGTCGTGCTAATTATATCAGAAAGAAATGTCTAACCTAAAATACTCGGAGTACTTGCTCGGCGTAGTTCTGCTAAGGACTACGCACACATACAGATTTATTTTGTAACGTCTCTAAATTTCAGCAAATCTTTCCTCCGAGGTTAGCACGCTTTGGCTGTACTTAAGGCTCATGGTCTGCATGAAATACGTGGAGCCTTTGTTATTGTGCGCTAAGCAGAGGCGTGAAATGGAGTCCTGTTAAGTATTTAAAAAGATGGAAATTGACATAGCACACGGTATGACGTCATAAGGTGACGAGCCAAGTGACACTAAAGTTGCACTGTTCCCAGCACTGTATCTTCGGAAAAATGTGTCGAGATTGAACCCTGGGAGATACTGATAGGGAGGTGCTACAATGGAAACTGACATCATGTAATGATGACCTCATCAGGTGTTACGGCACGCCTTATTATTGTTGCACACTTCTGAGTAGTATACCTTGTGAAGTATTTGCTGATTGGGTTGAAACTGGTTATATACATAGCGAGGGAAGTGTTTGACACACTTTTCGATTATAAGTCATCCTGTGTAGGATAATCGTTTAAGTACAACTGTCGGCAAAGGATTACTTTTTCGACAAGCTCAACCGATCAACTTAAACATAAAATAATCCAACATACTTCTGGAAATACTTCCGTGCATCGTAACACAAAAATTTATTAAGCAAACGCGTTTTAAAAACGTTCGCATGATTAAGCATACTTCTGTATGGTCAAGCCACTATTCAAAATTTATTAGCTTCTTTTATAATCAAGAAACCTTTTAAACTGAAAAGGGTACATGTATTCATGCGTTAAAAAGAACACAACATTTGCGTTAAAAGGAACACAATACTTGACTGTGTTTTCAAACAACCTTTCAAAAGTACTTATACCCGCCTGTTGTATTACAATCCCTTTTATTCCTGCTTATTGTCAAATTTATATTTTTGAGTTGAAGTTCTTATTCATAATAATTGAAAAAAAAAGTAGTGCCCAGTGCTGTTTTTACAACCAGAATTAAAGTACCCTGGCACAGTAACCATCACATACAGCTTGTGATGTTATTGACACAGATGAGTGAACAAACTAGATCGACGTTGAGGTTACTGAAATCGGCACTGTGACAAGTTTGCGTATGTGATTAACATGGCAGGACCATGCAAGTGTGAATAATACCAAATGCCTTGTATACCATGGCAAAGAGGGCATTCTGCCTTTTCTAGAAATATATTTCTCTTTCCCATATATAAAGTAATTTTTATCTAGGTATACTTTTATGTTAACACCATGTAGAAAAAAAATGAGGCTGAAATTGGCAGCAATCAAACACTACTCTTCAAGTCCCCAGTACTACTTCAAGAGATATAATGATTGAAATGTTGCACTGTAGAAGTTATGATTGAAACGATGAACCTTAATTGTCACTTGACTTGTCGTCCAATGACGTTATCATCACATGATGTCAACTGCGGCCTATAACTATCCCCTATGAAGCTGTCTCTAAAGTATAAACTCAGTGGGACTTATACTTCAGGATATATAGCGCTTTAAAGAATGCACCTCTAATGACAAGTGACTTGTCTTTAAATGACAACATCATCACATGATGTCAGTTTTTGTCTATAACACTACCCTTTCTAGCGATCTGCAAAGTTTCAAACAATTGGGAAATGTTCTCGAGGAGACTTTTCACGTAATGACGACATCATCACGTGATGTCAATTTTCGTCTATAACACTTCCCTTTCTAGCTATTTGCTACGTTTTACCGAATGCGACCTGCACTTCAGGAGATAAAGTTTTGACGTTTGCACCTCAGACGGCATGCCACATGACACCTGATGACGTCATTACGACGGTTTAGTTCCTGGACCCTCTCCAGATGGTGGACTAAGAGTGTGCACTTATATGTGTTTGGTCAGAACGATTTAAGTGCCAAAGTCTTGCCGTTGAAAAACGTGTACACAACATAGGCCTATGGGAAAAAAAATCTATAATAATTCGGGTAATGACGTCATGATTCAGCATACATCTTCAGTCTGACTGGGATGGGACTAAAGGAAGGGGCACAAGTCGTGTGTAGAACTACCCCGTGTTATCTCTATGGGGGAAAAGTGGGGGAAAAAAAGAAAACAAACCAAAAGTCTGCCTGTTCGAGAACAAATTATATATAAGGCTTTTCCGCATTTCGAAAGATTTTTATGGAAAAGAGAATAGGACTTTAAAGAATGGACGTTAAATGCCAAATCAAACACTTCCCTTTTCATGTACATGTATCTGCAAAGTTTCAATTCAATCGCACATGGACTCCAGGGGATATACGGCTTTATGCTTTGCGCTTTTAATGTCACGTGACTTGGCAGTTGATGTGGTAATCATCGCATCACGTCAATGTTCGTCTACAGCCCTTCTTCTTCTAGTTATCTACATAGTTTCAACCCGATGGGACACGTACTTCAGGAGATATAGGGTTTTTAGAGTGCACCTTTAATGTCACCTGACTTGTCATCTGATGACGATATCATCACATCACGACATTTTTTGTCTATATCCCTTAAGTTTCTAGTTATCTACAAACTTTCAACCGGATGGTACACGTACTTCAGGGGATATGGGGCTTTCAAGACTGCACTTTTAAAGTCACGTGACTTAGTACTGATGACATCATCATCACATGTGGTCTGTTTTCGTCTTTGATACATCCCTTTCGAATATCTGCAAAGTTTCAACCCAATCAGGAATGTTTTTCAGGAGATATAGGCCTCTGAAATTTGCACCTTAAATACCATCGCCCAATTGCTTGAAAATTATAATAGTTACTAAAAGATGACATATTCGACTTCTTAGACTGATGACGTCATCACGAATGGATGTGATACCAGCTACAAGAATTGCATTTTTAAACGAGGGTGTTTGTGGACAAACGCTTCGGCCCTGGACGATAGACGATACAGAAAACACATTGGTCAGTGAAATATTTTAAATCCATGTCATGTCGATGTATGTCACATGACTTGTTATATAGTGATACCACCAACAGACGAAATCAGTTTCCATCTGAAACCCTTCCTTTTTTAGTTCTCTACTAATTTTCAACCTAATTGGGCATGAACTTCACGAGATATAGTGGTTTGATGAGTTCCCCTTTAATGTCATGTGAATTGTCACCCGCTGACATCAGAATCACATGAGGTCAATCTGGGTCTAAAACCCTTCCCCTTTGAGCTATACACGAAGCTTCAACCCAATTGACCATGTTTTTAAAGAGATATATCACTTTAAAGAGTGCCACTCTAATAACACTTGACTTCTCACGTGATCACTTCACCATGACATAAGGTCAATCTTGGTCTAAAACCCTTCCCATTTGAGCCATAGATAAAGTTTCAACCCAATCAGACATGTGCTTCACGAGATATAGTTGTTTGAAGAGGTGCCCTTTAATGTCATGTGACTTCACCCGGTGAGGTCAGAATCAAGAGGTCAATCTAGCCCTAAAACCCTTCCCCCTCGAGCAATACACAAAGTTTCACCCAATCAGATATGTACTTCACGAGATATAGTGACTTTCGAGAACTAGCACATCAGGAACCTTTTCTAGCGTGTCGTTAGTGTGTGCCCCTTACACGAACTCTGATCGATAACAGTGCGAAAGCTTTCCATTTGAAAAACGTATACAAAACCTAATTAGAGAGGGAAGAATAAAATATTCAAAATTCAAAAATTAATCACGCGGTGACGTCATCGTGTTGCTTTTGTTGTAAGACCATCCCTTAATGATTTTCTACAGGTTTGTTCCATATAAAGTCAATGAGACTTTTTGAAAAGGAACTTAAGTCAAGTAACACATAATTAACTTAATAGGGTTAGTGCTAATCTGTTTTGGGTTTTAAGCCTCACTTTAAACTTGCAGCTTAAAACATTTATCACAAGTTTTAAATTCTTGTAAGTGTAATCCGGTGTGAGTTTGTAACAAACTTAACTTTTTAGTTTGGTCCCCAAATGAAACGTCAACTCCATATTCATTTCATGTTGACTGAATTCAATACATGTACATTCATGATTTTCGTAACTCGAAACCAAACAATGCGGTTTCGTGACATGAAAAAAATCAAATGCTACATTGGCTATTAACTTTGGGAACATCTGTGCGTTTGGAAAAAAATGTAGCTACGCTTAATAGGTTGTCTTGCAGAAAAATATTGATTATACCAACTAAATTTTCCTTGATGACACACACACACACACACAATCAACCCCCCCCAAAAAACAGATCCTGTCCGCTGTTTCCAAAAAGCATATTCAATCGGGAACAAGGCATGCGTGCGAGTCCCCCTAGTGCCGCAGGGTCATTTTGTAAATGAGGGGTCCATTTTTTTCCTGTCCCTGTCACACCTGACACATGACTTTGTAAGTTCAGAATGCATTCTCTAATATCAAAGAGTGATGAATTACTGCGAATGACCTGCCAAACAAGTGAACTTCTTTTAAATATCAGTGATATTTCAGTCACACTTCTGGACCCTGAATTTTTAGAATGGCCCTGTTTTTATTATTTGTCTGACTAGCGGCGACTATCGTTAAACACTTTGAATTGCCGGAGTTATAACCCCTCCTGTGTCCTTCCTCTACGATCGGGCTCATTCTTTGATACTCACCCAACCAGAAAACAATATTGCCCGATCACCTGTGTTTGCTATTGAAACGCGTCTTGTCTCGTGTTCTTTTATTTGCTGTAGAAGAATTCTCCGTGGCGTTGTTCTAAAAGGTAGAGCCACAGAGGAAGGACACAGAGTACAACGTACTAACTTGAAACTTACGAGAATATTGGCCCTGATCTCAAGGTGTACATAACAAAAGTGATGTCAATATGAAGCCATCACGGTTTTTTAATGATTAAAAAAGTTTCTTACGTTTATTACTCTTTTTGAATCTATCTTCTCAACAGGAGCAAAATATTTTCAATTTAGTTTGCAGGAACTTTTAATTCAAGTAGACATGCTTTAAAATTCTATGAGGTCACATGACGTCATAAAGTGGATTTTTGATTCCCACATTTGACCGTATGTGATCATCAAAGTCTTTTGTAGCCACTTAAGCCAAAAATGAAATGACGTGATGACAACATCATTGTGGCTTTTGAAATTAAATTTTGAATATTTATCATTGTACTTTTGGGACTTTATTCTGTCAAAATTCCCAGTGGGTTCGTGTTTCCGTTGGGTAAAGCGTGTCCACGGGCATCATCAGGACTTTGTTTTTTTGCAAGGGGGTGGGCAAAGTATTTTTATCGGGTTGATTCTGGTGGGCCAAAATACTCGTTAGTAACAAACCTGTAATCCATGGGGGTTAATTTTTTTTTGGGGGGGGTAAGTTTTTTATAAGCAAGTCGAGAAGTTTCATCTACTTTTATTTACCAAAAAATTATTCGCTTTATTATATTTGATTACTTTCCTGGGGAAAGGTCCATCCTTAACTCCCATGTCTAGGTCCATGCCCACTTTTCACCTATGTCGGACTTCCCCAATTATACAGAACCGATAGTTCTTAATGTAAGATTGGAAGCTTGTGGGCAAACGCCAGGTAGCAGTGCCCCTTAGGGAAGGAGCTACTTAGTACCCTTCAGGGTGAAGGGCGTGTGTCCTCCGGTAAGAGAATTCCCAGAAAATAAATAAGGGACGAAACAGACCTCCTGATCTTGATTTATTTCTTTTCATATCCCTGAAAAACAATTCATGACATTGACATTAACTCTAACAGCCCGGAATCCGCCAATTTTAATATAATTTTGCACACTAGGGAGTTAGGGTTCAATAAATAGATAGAATTTGCAAAGTATAAAAATACATGTGTAATTAATATGCGATGGAGTACATTAGCATTTGCATAATTAGTACCTCAACTCACCCAACACTCATGGGATTACAGTTATAGGTAAGTGTGGTGTGGCCCACTGCACTGGGCTGAAATGGTAACCCTGTGTACACATAACATAAGCTTGGAAAAACATACCATATTTCAATATAAAACCTGCAATCATGCTTTGCAAATGATAATAAAATTACAGCTAAAGCAGCGTGCACTACCAAAATCAGCGTTCACCAAGCCAGGCTGCACGCACATGGACGCGACCCAAAGGCCACTGGAAATTTCCATAAGCCGGCACACACTCACCCACGTGTGGCAGACCGGGCGTAGTACACCCATGCATGTACACGCACGTTACACACGTTACATACGTTAATGGTAATCATCAATCCCAGCCGATTCTCTAACCATTCAACACACTAATAATTTACCGTTTGTATCAGTAATCATATCTGAAAACAGTGAAAGAAAGAGTAATTTACTGAACTGTTTCGGCCAGCCCGCGTTCACTTCCAGTAGAAAGGAGAAGAGGCAAGTTTGAAAGAGCGCCCTCCCAGGCTCAACATCGAGAGTAATTAATACGCAAATCCCTACGTTAATGACCTGCTGTTTGCAGTGGAATGGCTACCTACCCATCAGCCGTGCCCCAGCGAGGCACAGACTGTTGATTGAATGCGAACGTATGGAGGAACGCTATATTCTCGCAGGGCCCCTTTTCCTTTAGCATAGCTAAATTTTGGATTACTGCTATCCTGGAAAGATTCTGGTTGGACTCCAGCAAACACAGATACCCCTTTACAGGAGCTAGTTCTGGGATTTAACATGACTGTCTCTCACCAACTGAAATCCCCAAGGGTGACATTAATTTTATTAGTAGTATCAGTTGAAATCCAGACAGGAGAAGTGGACTATTACTTAAGTGAATATCTTTGAAGCATAAGTAAACTAAACAACGAAATCAGATCAAGAGGAAAATGATGATCTCGAAATTGTTCCTATTAACAACTTCCGCGATGATGGTATCATTATTTTGAAAACTCACAAACATAACATCGCGTTATAACACCATGCCCCCATCCGCTCTCATGCAGGTGTGGCAAGTAAATCTCAAAAGTAAAAACGAAAACTGTCTTTTATATGCCACAAGACCTTTGTGTCAAGTGTAAAGATTTTCGTTGTAGTACCTCCATGGACAAGGAAAGAAAAGAGGACGAGGGAGGACGGACAACGGATATGGACAAAGGATAAGGAGTGGTGGGTATGGAGTGCGTATTTGCGTAGCATTTAATTAAATAGTATTGATTAGATGTACGATGCAATAATCAATCACTAACCACAGTATTTTAGGGATTCGTAATCCAGTCAATTTAATATAACAGAACTCTCAAATAAGAACTAAAAATCCCTTTTTTGAGGATATTATTCTACTTTGTTCCTAACTTTAAGTAGATGCACTAGAAATTAGCTGGCTTTCTGTTTAATTTTGGTGCCACACATAGCTTAGAAACATCTGGCATTGGCTCTATTGTATTCAAACTAATGTCTACTATAACTTATTGTGTTTGCGTGATACAAGTAATTGTTACAATCTTCTTCCCTAGCAGTGCTCATTCTGTCCGTTCGGGGAATTCAATATTTATTCTCAAATATAATCATAATCAAAAGCGACTAAAAAAAGTATGAGTAAAAATTTGTGTATCGAGAACAACACAAAAGCCAATATGTACTTCGTTTTCAAATAAGGGATACTTCATGTGATTCAAGTTTTGTTGGCTAATACCACACCACACAGGATAAGTCATGACCGTGTAAAATCCACGCTGCATGCATTTTATGTGTGTACACCTGCTAATTTCTAAAACATATGTCTGTGGTCTCGGATCGGTGTTTATACTAATTTTATCCATCTACAGACGGCGCAAGTATTGAAATATTCATTTGAATGTGAAATAATTAATTTTTGCGCGTTCAGCTGTCACTGTGAAAATTAGATGTCTGTTGCAAATTGTGACTTGAAATACAGATTCCTCGATATTTTAGTCTTTCGGGTAAAAAAGGCGTAAAAATGCCTCTGCTGTACTGGCAGCGGTCTTCCTAAAAACAGACCTTCTGTAAAGTTGTTGCTGGCCACAGTAGTAAATAATTATGAATAAAATTTAGTTAACTGTTAATCAGTAAAAAACAATAACCTGTTACGATACACATGTGTTTTAAAGAAAGGTACAGCAAAGCATATTCTATTTGATAATTTGTTCCAACCTTCCATATACATTACCAAATTGTAAATAAGCTTTATGGATTGGCATATAGTTTTGGCAATCAATTTTCCCTTCTGACTTAAGAAATTATAAAAAAAAAATCTTGAGTAAAAAGAAATGCAAATGCTTATTGTTTTGCTTCGAGATAGCGAGACGGATCTACAATCTTTTGCTAAGGGGTTTTTCAACTTTTATTTTTATTTTTTTGGGGGAGGAGGGGGTTACTACGTGCATTTGTGGCCATTGGCGAAGTCATTTAATCTCCTTTATAATTATAACTGTACACGCAAAATAAAACCCCTGCATGGTTGGTGCCTTTTGTCTTCCAACCTGTAGACGTTCGTCACTAAAAATAAATAAAAACAATATTCAAATTAAAATAAAGGAAATATTGGTAATCAACTGCGGGAGCGGATTTACCACCAACTGAACCGGATCCACGTCTGAGATTTATTAAAAACAAAAAATAAATAAAAATAGACAAACAAATAAAATAGTCATGCTTAAGTGGAGTTACCAAATAGAGGATGCTTTCAGTCTTAAGGATTTCTTGAAAACGTAACTTCTTATGGCCATAGTTCTTCATTACATTGAAAGACTTCATATTTCGCTGAACACATTCTAAGATAACAGTCATTTGCTAATTTAATTAGTTATATTTTCACTGTTAATAGTAGCATATCTCATTTGAGACCACAAATCTACCGTGAAATTAATAACTGCTCAAGTAATAATTTTGGCGTTACGTGTAAGCTTAAATTAACTGTATTTTAAATTTCCTAGCATTTAAGAATACTAAACTACAAGCATTATAAACACTGACGCTGCATTAAGTGCTGATGCCGTCTGGCTGACATCTTATAGCCTTTAGTTAAATTTTCATTTTTTTGTCATCAAAACAAAGGTATTTATATGATTTTTGAGGATGGGTTCACAAACTCATTACACAATGATCAGAATATATAAGTTGCACTAGTTCGTTAACATTAAGAAAGAGCCACCCAAACCGATTTGTAGCAACCAAAGAGCAGTAACCTTCTAGGTTTGTCTTAAAGTCTAGTTTGTTTGTGGTTGCACCGGTCGCCAACAGTGTGCAAAATGTCAAGACGCACTTTGAGGCCCAAAACGTGTGGAACACCGGTGAGAAACAAGACGAAAATAACACAAATAAAATGGCATTCAAAACAAAAAAAATTCTTGAGGATACAGTGGTATTTTCGATGTGCATGTATTTAGTTGTGGAGAGCAATTTTGCCAACAATCGATGTCCCATGTCTGTTATGAAAGTGGACTAGATACATGTACACAGCCAAGAGGGACATCGGCAAACGACTTTTATGCTATCGTGCGAATCACCAAGGGCGTACTCTGACAACTTGCCGCAGACAGCCGACAAGTTGCCGACTTGCTACGTCCGTATTTGCGTCTGTGATTGCTTGTCGTCGGGGACTGTTACAAAATGTTTTTTTTGCGTCTCTCTAAGTCAATATGGAACCAGGCTTAACACGTATATGATATTCGTAAAAAGTCCCAACTCCAACTATTAGTTGCAAATTACAAATACACAGTTGGGAAGCATGTCGAGAATCAGTGTAATACATTCTTTAAAAACTCCCTTTGCTTCCACCACCATCGTTCACTTAGCAGGCACCTTCTTGCAGGTAACACAAATTTCCTTGACAATTTCGGTAGTGTTAGTCAGAATGTACATGTGTTTGCCAGGGAAGGTCATCTTCTTAAACGTGTGCTTCCTCGATTTCTGTTGCCCCCAGCCATCCAGTAGATCTGGTTGAGCAAAATCGTCCTGCCTCCCCGCGAGAGCTGTGATGTTGCATTGCAGTGGATTCTTATGGTTTCCGTTGTAGGCCTTAACCATTTCCATTGACGCCTCTAAGCAGGGTAACAAGCGTCGCATTAAAGCAGTGTTAGAGACGGCCTTGTCATCCATGAAACTGAACTTCACATTCGTTATTTTCACCACATTCGCAAAAAGCTTGGGGTAGTCATTAAGCGTCTTCCTCAATTTGTCAAAGGTTTCGGGCGAGATGTTGAGTTCCTCTGGATGAGGATAGGGTAATGTCGGAGCATACCATGCACTAACGAAGAAATGATGGGGGCTGATGTTATCTTCGCTCAGAAAGAGATGAGCAACCTCAAATGCAATAAGGCTCCCCATGCTGTGGCCGAAAAGAACGAAGGGCCCGTCTGACAGATGTGGTTTGAGCTCGTTGTGAACAAGGCGTACGATATCTTTCAAGTTGGTGAGTGGCTTTTCGTCATCACGCCCTTCCCATCCCGGCAGCTGAACCATCAAAATTTGGATGCCAAATGGTAGCAACAGCTGTATCCAGTGCGTAAACAGTGAAGGTCCAGCGCCGTTTGAAGGAAAGCAGACAAGCTTTACTGCCAACGAATTTGGCACTTCACCTTCAACTACAAAGTTTTTTCGTTTTGATTCCTCGCCCTCCAAACCATCAGGTTTTTGAGAATTAGCCTTCCCAAGAATTTGTCTCGTGATGTTTGTTGAAAGTTCCTGAATGGTGTTCTTGTCGTTGAGGAGATCCAAGCCCCCAATAGTGACCTCAAACTGCTGACTTATTATCTGACTGACTTCAGCAGCCATGAGAGAATCTAAGCCAAGAGAAATGGGAGACGCGTCGTGAGGAATCTCGTCAGATAACCCAAGGTGCTGACTGAGAAGTGTGGACAAAGTTTTGACTACCATGTCCTTCGCTTTCTGGAATGGAAGTTTCGCAATTGACTGAAGAAAGTTGTTGCTATTGGCAGAAAGGTATGGGTCTCTGTCATGAAACAATTCTTTAATTATGGATACGGTTCCATGTTGTTCTCTGAAGTGCTGAGTCATGAGGCCAGGGTGCTTATCTGCCCAAAGTTTCAGATTAAAGAAACCTGAAATGCCAAACTGCGGTTGACGAACCGACAAGGCACAGCCAATAGCAGCCAGAACCTCGTTTGGGCTCATACTTCCCGCTCCCATCTTCTCCCACATTTGAACCAGATGGCTTCTAACTGCAAATCCAACATCATTAATCACACCTATCTGTACCGAAGTGGCAGGTAAATGGTGACTGTGACGATAATGAGCGAGAGCATTCAGGAAGACATTGGCAGCACAGTAACTGCCTTGTCCCGCATTGCCAATGAGAGATACAATAGAAGAAGTCATGATGAAATGATCGAGTTTGATATCAAGCTTTTGAGTCAGCTGGTGTAGCAGAAGTGCTCCATAGGCCTTTGGAGCCATGACTCTATTCCAAGACTCTGCAGTGATATTTTGGAGGAAGCCGTCCTGGAAGACGGCGGCACAATGGAATATGCCTTTCAGAGCAGGCCAACGCCCATCCTTCATGTTTTGCAGAGCTCTTTCAACATGACAGGCATTGGAAATATCCATCTGAATGTGCTGGATTTGCGCACCGACTTTCATTCCATTCTGAATGACCTCTTTCAAGTCGTTATTCATTTCCCCTCTTGAACCAGTATATATGTATCGAGCTCCTCTTGATATCAACCACTCTAAAAGGCGGAGACCAAATCCTCTTGTTCCTCCTGTAATGAAGTAAGACGATTGTCCATCAGCAACAAAGCAGTCATTCTCTAGAGAAGGTGGTATCAGTATCTCGGTCGATTGAACATCGATAACTTCGTTTGTAGGAATGTCCACATTCTTTGCTGCCAGAGAAGACAGTTTCTTAAGGTTGTGCGTTTCACATATCGGATGACCATCCTTAAGTCCGGAGTGAAACATTTTCCAGAGTTCTGACAAAGTATTTGAAATCTCAGCACTGGATAATCCATCTACTGCTGATGGGAGATCAGTATCGAACGTAACAACCTTCACCTTTGAAGGGAGCACAGAAAGTCTTCCTTTGTATCCTTGTCTCTGCATTATCACAACGGTAGCGTTTCTTCTCAACTTTGGTTTTAGCGAATGCAGTGCATGATCCAAGGAGGATTCTGTCAGAGACAGAAATAACACGTCAACGGATGCATCAACCAACTCATTCAGGAACTTGACAGATATCCCCGTATGAGATAAATCACGATCATCAAGACCATCTTTCAACAGGAATACTTTAGCTCCCATTTTAGTTGATAGGTGCATAGTTGCAAGACTACAAGTGTCAAGAGAATCAACTCTGAAACTGATACACATCCCTGCAGATATTGGTACACTCTGCTTGAAGAAGATGGCCGTTGGAAGGTAATCGTTGACGATACTGACTGCCTCGCTCGCCGTGAGATGGGAAGGCACTTCTGTTAAACCTTTTGAGGGAGATGTCATGACGGCCTGAATTTCATAAGAAGAAGTAAGTCCTAAGTATAAACCAGGAACATCTTTGGAAACTGATCCGTTGACATTACCAGCGTAGACAAATATGCACGATCCCGACTGCCCGCCCTCATTTTGTGAAGGAGATGGGTTTTCTTTGTGCTCCTTGTAAACGCTGAAAGCGTCGACTTTCACCAAAGTATGCTTCAAGTCACTCTGATTACACTCCTTTGGATGAGCTTTTTGGATGAACATACGAGTGCGATCAGATAAAATCTGTTGGCTAACTGACCAGAATCTTGCTGGCACAACTCCAGAAACTTTAGAGAGATTTTTCTTTAACAGGCGAGGTGAAAAGAGGTGCCATGTGGTATCGTTGTGGTTGTTTGTGGTCATTGCGCTTCGTATAGCGATTACATCTTCAGCTCTTGTGTAAAAATCCTCATTGTAAATAACTTCCTTTGCAAGCTGGGCGCACTCTGTGCTGCTGTTGGTCACCGGCAAGTCAAAGGAAAACATTCGATTCAAAGGTTCCTCGTGCAGTACAGTCACGGAAACAGAATTTAATATCTCTGCGAATGGATTGACATTGTCCTTGTCTTTTGCACAAAGCGCGCCCTTTGTGAAGAGTAGAAACTTGACCTTCAACCTCTCCTTTTGCAAGGCTTGGTGGACGTAATAGCAAAACAGAGTACCTTCTTCGCATTCCTCAAACTCACTTCTCGACATGATTGATCCAGAATCCAAATCAATTTCAGACGCTTCCGTTTTCATCATGATGAGGAGTGCATCAGTATCTTGATTGGCAGCGACAACATTAGTGGCTAGTTGCAAAGCTTCAGGTTTTTTTGCATCTACTACAGTTACATCAAAGACCTCTTCTTTCATCAAGGACCCGATTAAGGACGAACTAATGTCTGTGTCATCTGGGAAGATAATTATCTTCCTCTTGGCTGTTCGGAGTTCAGCTGGCTCATTTGTAATTGCTAGAGACCCAACATTTTTCCAAGCTACGCTCCAAACCTGAGGCTCCACTCTGTCAGTTTGAATGGTTTCAAATGCAAGTTGCCTAACTGAGCAAAATACTTTCTTTGTGTTTGCGTCTGCCACATCAATATCGCAACGGGGCTCATCATTTCCGCTGATCTTCATGTGAATATATACAAGCGGTGAGGCAGGTCCAGAGAGGGTAAATGTCTTGATGCTTCTAGGAACCCTGTAGACGGTTTGGGGAGATTTACCGAGCAATCCCTCTGCCGCTTCTGCTGCTACCAAAAGAAGAACAGCAAAGGCTTGCAAGAAGCTATCCATAAAAGCTGGGTGGTACACGTAATGATGGAATTCTCTCTGAACACTAACAGGAGCCTCTGCATACAGTAGACATTCTCTAAAATCCCCCGACATTGATATCTTCTGAACACCTCTGAACGTAGGTCCCAACTCAAAGCCTGAACTTTTTGCCTTCGCGTAAAAGTCCTCAAATGAATTGGTTATTTCACACCTTTTGAGGATACTTTTTACGTCAATCGTGTCACCTGATGTCTTCAACTTACTCAGATTGGCTGAGGGGGGAATGATATTGAGATGGCAGTGCTGGGTCCAAGTGTGTCTGAAAACGTTATGACTCCTTAGTGTGAAGAGAAATTGATCTGGTGCCTTCTCCTCAACTGTTGTCTCAAGGCAGCCCTCTGCGTTTGGGGCAAACATAAACCGATCAAACATCAGCCCACTGAGAACTACTGGGTAGCGTTTGCCATTCAGTGATTGAGCGGCTGCAAGAGCAGTCTCAGTGTAAGCAGCAGCAGGGACAACTACGGCACCTTGCAGGACGTGATCTTTCACCCAGGGTACCCGAGACGCGTCCAGGTCAGCGCGCCAAATCTTCACCGGACTTCCTCGCAGATAGAAGCTTTCCAACTGTCTTCCAAGAAGCATGTGTTGACCCACCGAAACAGGAAAGAGAATCTCTTCCCTCGCTGAATGAGAAAGGTCAAGGCATTTTTCTCGCTGCCACGGGTAATGTGGAATCGACATAACTCGACGAACAGTGGAATCGAACAGACTGTGAAACTTCGTGGGTATACCATTTACATGAAGCTGTATCTGTGACAAGAGCAGATTCTCGGAATCTTTGGCTACCATGCTGGTGTCTCTTGGCCTTAGTAGAGATTTAGTCATGATGAATTTTTTATCTGGAGTCTGAATGTCATCTAAAGTGTCTCGAATTGCTGGTAAGAGTGATGGATGAGGACCTATTTCGACAAACACTCGATAACCATCTTTAGTTAGATTCTGAATGGCGTTCATAAAGGAGACCTGGTATCTTACATTTCGAAACCAGTAGTCTGGTGAATGAGCCTCCTCGGACGTCAAATACCGTTTTGTAACGGTGGACATCATTGGAATCGTGCGTCTCTTCTCTGCTGAGTTTTGTACATTAAGGAACTTACCTACTTTCTTGACAAACGTGTGCTTTACCACTTCTTGCTGTTTGCTGTGGAAGGCATTGTTTACCTTAAGCACTACGCATTTAATATCATCTGATTTCATTTCGTTAGCTAAACCCTCAATCGCGGTATTCTCACCAGAGAAGACTATTTGACCTGGGCTATTGATAGCCGCTACATCAAGCATTTTTCCATGCTTGCTTCCTTTAACATACTGGAGAGCTTCCTCAACGCGTTGTAAGACAGCCACCATCTTCCCAGAGCCACTAGTTTTGCGAAGTTCCCTTCCTCTGCGGTAGATCAGTTTCACTGCGTGCTCCAGGCTGAGGAAACCTGCTGCGTAGGCTGCTGCAACCTCACCCACACTGTGCCCGACCACTGCGTCCGGAACCACACCACGCAACCTCCAAAGATCTAGAAGACCTATTGCAACCGCAAACAGGCAGGGCTGGCTGACTTCTATGGTGAAGACAAAATATAAAATTGATTATCAGTTTGACACTTTGGTATTATTTTGTGAGACAGATTCTGGAACGTTTGCTTTGCTGAACAAAAACTATATCGAAAAACTCTTTACCAGTTTGTTGTATTCTATCACTGTCCTTTTCGTCAGAGAGCATGCTGACCAGAGACCACTTAGCCCCGCAGCTCTGAAGTAACTTGTCAATAATCTGCAGAATTAATCAATATTACCTGAAAGAATTTATATCCAAGCAGTGAAACTAGTTCGTGTGTTCTGTGGTGTAAAAGCACAGTACGTACATGATGTTACATAAGAGTGGCTGAATCCACGTACGCAGCGCACCCCTCACGCTTTTAACCCTCAACGCTGTTGTGTGATTGTTGCGCAGAGGCCATTGGCGCAAGCTGAACGATCTGCTCACCTTTATCTTTGATGCAAATGCCGGTTGTGAATACATCAGCTCTCTCGCCATGCCCCACCACTGAGTCCCCATACCAGAAAACACAAACACGATTTGCTGTTCTGCGCCAGGGGCTGACGGAGCCACACCTTCAGTAGATTGAGACGACGCCAGCTGGGTTTCTTCGGAGAGTTTCATTCGAAGTTGATGGATTGCATCTTGCTTAGAGTCGACTGCAAATCCTAATCGATGAGTGTGGTGCTGATAACGGCAGGCAGCCGTATATAAGCACGAGTAGAAAGTGGTGTCTGTCACTTGTTGATCTTCCGAAAGAAAGTTGAGCCAGTCTTTGACTTTCTGTCGGAGGGCATCAGAGCTGGTTGCGGAAAGAAGGAGACAACTCAAGCGTGGGCCTTTCATTTGAAAATGACCGTTCACGTGGTAACTGAAACACCCCTCGAGAACAAGGTTAGCATTCGCTCCTCCGAAGCCAAAGGAACTACAACAGGATAGAAGCCGGCCTTCTTTATCCGGCCAAGGTATCAGCGCAGAAGGAACGTTGATTTTAAGTGCTTTGAAGTCAACATTCTTACTTGGTGTTTTGAAGTGCACGACGGGTGGAATCTTTCGTTGGTACAGGCACAGAGCAGTCTTGATAATGCCAGCCACTCCTGCCGCGCCCTCAGAGTGGCCCACATTAGATTTGACAGACCCAATGTAGAGTGGAGGATGTTCAGGCCCTCTCCTTTGTCCCAAAGCTTCACCCAAAGCCCCAGCTTCTGTAGTGTCGCCGACACGTGTTCCTGTACCATGAGCCTCTGCATAGACAATCTGAAGGGGATCTACCCTTGCGTTGCGACAGGCGCGGTTCACCAAATCAACCTGTGCATCAAAACTTGGGTTTGCAATGCCCGGTGTTCGGCCATCGTTGCTCAGTGCACCTCCTCGCAAGATAGCGTAAATACGATCGCCATCTCTCTGAGCCACAGGAAGAGGTTTCAGAACCAAAACTCCAGCACCTTCGCTTCGGGAATATCCATCAGCTGCCTGGTCAAAACTTTTGCATTTTCCGTCTGCAGACAACATTCCAGCCTGACAAAACCCAACAGTGGTGACAGGCGTAAGAATTAAGTTGACCCCGCCAGCAAGAGCCATTGAACAGGATTTCTGTTTCAGCGCCTCACACGCCAAATAGATTGAATAGAGGGATGAAGAACAAGCTGTGTCCACTGAGAAACTGGGCCCACGGAGGTCAAACTCGTAGGAGATACGATTGGATACCATGCATGAGTTGGTGCCAGAGTTAGAGTACTGATTTATGTTGTGATACGGCTTACAGGTGAGTGATAAGTACTCTTGTGCTGTTACGCCCATGTAGACACCAGTGTTAGAGCCCCGAAGAGAGGAAGCTGGTATCCCGGCATTCTCGAGAGCCTCCCAGGTGACTTCAAGAAGCAGTCTAACTTGTGGATCAAGATGACTCGCTTCGTCTGCAAGTCATAAACAAAGAAGGTTTCAAAGCCCTGTAAAAACAGTTACTCTATGTGTTTGCACTATGGATAAACTCAAGAAACGTTCCTCTTACTGCTAAATCCACTCCCTTATGTGTATGGTAAATGTAAGGTTTAATGTTCTATAATCTCTGTTTTTCCAGTCCATGGTCGAAGAGGGCTAATGAACGATTGATGACAATATTTCAAGGAAGTATTTTTGCTCTGAAAAATATGTTGAAATATCGCAGTGTTAGTTCTGCGTTAGCTCAAAATTGTTTTTATTATCACATAACATTTAAAAATACAAACTTTAATTTTAACAGGCATGAAGGAAACCCTGGCGATAATTACATGTTTTCAATAGGTGACAAGACCAGCATCGGAAATAAACATGAAAAAAGTCAACGTTTTCTTGTTTATGGTAAAAAAGGTCCCAAATCGTTTGTGTATTAACGGTATGCAAGTTACTCCGTACCGTAATTGGGAGACACAGAGAGTAAGCACACTCGACTTGTAAGTGTGCATAAGTGCCTGTAAGGATGTATACACGTGCCGCAGCGATAATTGTGTCCTAGTTCTCTTTACCAATTGCTTGATTCTTCAAGTTTATCTGGCCTAATTGTTGCATTTTAGAGATGAAGGAAAACATGCCCCAATCTTGTGCCCCAACCCCAATGGTTGTGACAGAAATGCCCAAAAAACTTGGACGTGGTGTTCTTGAGATTTGCAAAGACAAAAAAAAAAAAAACCGATACGCGTTCTGGACATTTTTGTTAACACAACGAAGGCAGTTTCAAAACTTCCCCGTGGTTGCTGATCTGCCAAAAACATTTCCGGAAGATTGCTTTGATGAATTATGCATCTTGCAGAGGCAACTCGGGTGACGGGAATTAGTGGAAGCAAACTATGGCGAATACCCACAAAGAGCTCCCTCCGTCCCATTGTGTTGGCTCAGGGATCGTGCCACTGGCAGAACGCTCATATAGCGATACTTCCAAGTACAGCGAGTCCCCCAACACTACGGCGGCGACACCATGATCCTTAACAGCAGGTATCGTGCAGTCATCCTCGACATCAATGAGTGGATCATTGCTGCCATATTGATCGTATCAATCGAAACTTTCACTCGACACATTTATCACTAAATTAGCGACAAAATTTGATCAAACACACGGAAATCTGAAACAAGCTCACACAAGCATGGCCACCCAAATAGATACAAACCAGTGGATGTGATGCCGCTACACTAACCGGCTTATTTTTGGCATTGTTTTGATTGTTGTCAAACGAGAGTGCATGTACATGGTATGCACATGTGTAATCCTATGTGGTTTTCTCAAGTACCACAACAGCATTCAACGATTTCTATGTCTTTTATCTCGAAGCATATGCTATCACAATTACTCTGACTGAAAATAGCAATACTTAATAATCTGCAAGATCATATAAAGAATTGTTTAAATCATATATTAACTAATCTTAACTGGTTTCACTAGACGCATCGGGACCACATGAATCAAGTGTTGCTTGTGGCTATATGCATACTGCATATTATGCCTGCTGCAGCAGGCATATGCCCCAAATTGGTCCAATTGTTCTTGTCCTCGTTTTCGGTCGATGTGCCGATTGTAATTCTGTTATTCGGTAACCAATCTCCCAACACTTCTCGGATCTCTAATTCTGTCTGCATTCAGACAAAGGGACACCTTTTCCACACCGTCAGAAAATAAAATGATGAATTTTACTGATCATTATATTCTATTAATGGAAGTAACATATCTTTCCAATCTCCGTGGACAAATTAAGACTACCTTCGCGTAAAATGGTTCGACAGTAATGTAATGATAGGCCATCTTTTAAGATCCGCTTAAATCCGCTTAAGTCCGCCTGAATGATTAGTTTCAGGACGCATAGGCAAGGAACACGTGCAGAGAGAGTACAAAAGCAACTGTCTCAAATTATTTACACGTCAACTTTTGGGGCTTCAAATGTCCAGGTTTGATTACAATTCAATGATTCAAATCCTTTATTCCTTTACTTTCTTTACATTTTTTTCCATTTTCCCCTAATGCCAGGCCGGTGTGCGGCTGTGGAGTTGGCCTTCCAGACAGCTTCTAACAATGCATAATGTGTGAAGTCAAGATCGAAACCTACCGTAAAGCATACGAGTCGCTACACAAAGAAACAGCTGAAGTACGTTTACTGTGTACGGTTCACGTGAAACTTTCACAATAAAGGTGGTTAATAAACACGTGAACATCACTCATCTGTGATTTGCTATGACCACAGTAACCACCAAGTTGGGTCAGACACTATGAAATACTACATTGAGATGGTAAGTAGACTACAAATCAGCTATAACAAAGTCTAAAGTTAGTTTTGTAGCGATATTTCGATGGCAAAATACTCACTCGATGGTGCCCACACTGGCCAGGGAGAGTACACTCGTGTACAATCTAAAAACTCCCGGGTTAGATTGACCCAGAACTGGGTCCCATTCGGCGAGACCTTTTTCTGGGTCAAAATATAATCCGCTTTCGGGGTCATATTTCACCCTTTTGGGGTCATAATCTGACCTGGAAAAGGGTCGTGCCGAATGGGACCCAATTCTGGGCCTATCTGACCCTAGGAGTTTTTAGAGGGCACCGCACTATCTTCGCGGCTATTAGTAATACATTTCTAAGGGCTGGGCGACGTGCAAAATAAACTACGGTAACCCCTAAAGCACGTTTCCCCACAGTAATATTACCAAATTTTTATATTCAGTTGATAAAATTAGAATAAATGTGAAGAGTCGAGTTGGCATAGTGATTCTTTTCCAGCCTTCCATCTCCGCGCTCCGGGTTCGAATCCCGGCTCGGTTCATATGTGGGTCTGGTTTTCCTGCCCCTAACTGATTCTGTTGGTTTTACCCTGAATATTCCTCTATGGTTTTCCTCCCACCTCTAAAACTGTAACTGCTTTTCATTGTGCCCATGTCTTACACCCTGTACTGGCAGTTCCCAGTAGGGCCAACGCGCCTATGAATGTAACATGAAAGTTCCCTGAATCGTCCAAAAGTTGGAATTTTCTGATTTAGTGTTTCGGAGAGTACTGTTAATAACTGTTGCATGTTTCGGTGGTTGCATAAGTGTTAACATACCTACTGACAAGACCTTAAGAATCACTGCGCGAAACAAAGTACGTGTATTTCCATTTACAAAACTTTTTTTAAAGAAAATACTGTTTCATACAGTGGTTTGGAACTCTTGTCAGAGGTATACTAGCATGCATGTAACCTCACAAACATTTTATGCTATAAACGAGGCATTCATTAAAGTTACAAGAAAACGGTAGTAATTTTAGCTTTGATAATCTTGCATTGAACTTCCTCCTGAAAGCAACGTAGGCAACATTAACGAATCACTTGTTTAAATAGTTAACAAGCAAACTGGATATGGTATGTTGTTTGATTCAGTTCTTAAGAAACCTTCTAATGGAGACAAACAGTGAATGTAAGGATAGTCTTCTCAAAATGATTCAGCAATACATGCATGTAGGACAATTCTTCAATAGCAATGCATTTGCATTAATTCTATCCTACGCTTTCACAAAGTTCCGCAATAATGAAACAAGTTGAGTACCAGTTCCGCATCAGTCAACTTCCCAAAATCATGTCGGCTCATCCCATTGATTGATTTGGGCACAAAGTGTAGAACATTTGCATTTTTGCGCAGAAGTCTCATCATACAACATGAAAATGTATCGTTCTATCAGTAATTTCAGACTATGACTCAATTGTACTTTATTTATAGCCTTGTATGCACTTTTAAAAGTTGTATTCGATTAACTTCCTGTAATGTTTCCAAAACCTTTACTGTACATACACTTTTGTTTCGTCGGTTTCACTTACTGTTAACAGTTTATTTAGGAATTTGTAGGGTCCAACAGGTCCAGCGCCTGCATGTAGGATGTACAGCAATGTATTCCTCCATGAAAAGGTTATATCTTATATTTAGAGAGACCATTAGAGATTTGGTAGATAGGCCTGTTCAATATCCATTAGTAATAATGAATCAAATTATAAGGAATAAAGTATCACGATATTCCATATTATCGCGATAACATTCATACAATGTCTGTTTGTCTTTTACTGTAATGGTTGGAAAATTGGAATTTCAAAATCCATATATGGTTCTCTTTATAGATTGTTGTTTTTTTTTGCATTTACTGGTCTCATTTCTAAGTCCAAACTAAGCTAACTCACGCCACATACATTTAGTAACAAAATCACACAACGAGCATGATACAATAAGATGTATGTAGCATTTGGCCATCGCACAATTTATCCATGATTCCTGATCCTGTATTTACCTTTTCTACTCCTTTTTCATTTTTCTGAGTTTGTGATACAGGGTGTAATTCTGTGTCACTGACTGGTGGTGTCTGCCAAAGTATGCCAAAGTAAATGCTTTATGTTTGTTGCTTTACTTCACGGTTTTACCGAAAGGTTTTGCACAATAGGGCTTCCATTGCCTGCACGTACAGACATACATAGCACGGTGCTGTATCTTGAGACCTCAGCATGGCAAATAAGCATATGGCAGTAATTTTGATCACCAAAACCTTGATGAAGAAAATTGCTCTGCCACTCTCAAATCGGTACAACTGCCTGCATCTGGTTTCTTGAGATTCCCTCCTAAAGGCATACAGCTTTTCTTTTCGAATGACATTCATGAATGCTGCCATTTTAAACATTAGTGAATGCTCCTCATTTTGAAGCTTACCCTGACCCTGACAAATATCAAGTAAATACTCCAATTCTGTAGAACTTACTCATTTTTATTCATACAAATATGAAGCAACTGCTTATTGTCAAGCACAAGCTTAAAGAGTAAAAAGTAAATACTTTTACCTTTTAGCAACTGCATTAAAGTAAAAGCGTTTGCTTCAACATTATTCATAAAACACGAGTAAATGCTTCAAAAATGGTAGTAAAATCATATGCTACTTTTTATTTATACGACCCGTTATCATAACGTGCAACACAACCTATATATACTGTATGTATAGTAGGCCATGGTAGAATTATAAGAAAGCAGTAGGCCCTGTTAAAATTATAAGCATGGACGTTGTGACCCACTGCATTTCTGAAAGAGTGAATTTTTTTTAGGTCAAGAAACAACAGCTACCGGAGGTAGCCGTATCGCAAAATAGTACTGGTTACAAAAATAAAAACCCCAATTGCGCAAATGACCTTCTGTTTCTGATAACTTACAACAGCAGTTGTTGATGACTGTAATTTGTGCCAATATGTGGTTTGCAAGATATATGCTTATGTCTGGCCACGACTACAAAAAACCGATAAACTACAGGGCCGTGTCTGTTCGAAAACAGAAACTCATGGCTTTTCGAAGCTCTTCAGTAAAAAAATTTGGCCATGCATGAGCAATGAGACATACAAGGTTTAAAAACGTGTACAATGTGTATGAAATTCCCAGAAAATGTAACAATTTACAAAATTTTTCAGGAATAGGGCAGCATTAAGCCACTTCAGGGGACAAATGCTTTATGAATCTTGATACTTTAAAGTAGTTGAAAAAAGCGTGTAAACGAGTGATAAAAAGGAAATAGTTAATATTCATAATTTACAAAAAAATAAAATACAGTCGCCATCTCGACATGACTTTACATTAAAAGTACGATCAGGAGTTGGAGGCTTACCTACCTAATGGTTTTCATGTTGATGAAACTTAAAAATCACTTTTTTCACTGAATTTCTGATACACAAATTTAATGGCAATCAGACCTACTATTTAAAGATTTCAACGTGAAGCAAACGTGACCAAAGTAAATGGAGATCTGGTAAACATGTAAACATCCATAAAAACACTTGATGTCATCATAACGTCCTTACTTTAAAAGACTTAACATCTGTGATATTTCAAACGAATCCGACTTGGTATTGTGCCCAAATTACGTCTAGACGAAAATAAAGTGAAACTGAACGATAAAACTTAAATTTTAAGTTATCATCAATAGATGACATTACAACGTTACTTCATGCATATATTGATTATGAACCCATATGCCACAGACAAAGGGGGCGTACGGTCAGTGCAGTGAGATGTCAGAAAGTCATGATCCTGGGAGCAACTGACATAGGAACTCTGGCATGTTCCTGGTCAAATTACTTTGAGTGGATGCAGCGGAGTCGACGAATGTGCAAGTGTAAGGAGGATGATTGTAATCTTCTACATGTAAAATAACTTCAGTTTTCTCCCCTGGAAAATGATTTTTTTTTCAAACCTAGATCCTTCCCTGGTAAGGTAACATCATTCTTACAGTAATTAGACCCTTGAACAAAGAGCCCCTTTGATTTAGCACCATGTGCTCAGCATTCTTTCTAGACCCACTCAGTTTGCAGACTGTCAGTGAAGAGCACACACCACATTTTTATGAGTTCTCTGCCCCTCGCTTAGTCTGCCGTTTTATTTAGGTGGCAAAGCCGTTGTGTTTATTGTTTTGCAACCCTCTTATGCTGTTTTGGCTTTCTGTTTTTTAGTTTTGCTTTCGGTTAGGCATCTATTTTTTGGGTTTGACGTGATTTAATTATTATTCAAAGTTAATCTAGTCCCATTCTGCCCAGACATTACACTGATTCTTCAATTTTTGTAGACCACAACTTTTATTGAGTTTGTGGTTAGACATTTCATTTTGTTTATATCGTTGTTAGGATTCTGTTGAGCATTGCCCCTAAGCAATAAATTTTGGAATTTCATTTTTTGTGTTGTTTCCTCCTTTCTATAAAAGTTGCAGTCGTTTGCCTCCACCTGATTTTCCTTGCGACTCCTCCCTACCCGATCAAATTTGAAGTTTTTTTGGCGAGTTCCCCAAATTCTTTTTTTTGTTTGTTTATTCAGACTTAGTTTGGGTGCCATTTATCCGTGCTACACAAAGAAGATGTTTCATGAGCACTGGTAGGTTGTCTGTGGGAGACACCTATTACATGGGGTTTGTCAAGTTTCACTTTTCAGCCTTTCTAAAGTTTATCTGTGTTTTTGTTATTGGGGCATTCCAGTTAAAGAACCACTTTGAACGCTAACAACAAAGGGACTAAAGTACTAACAAGTCTGCTGTTGAGACTAATTTGAACACAAAAGAATTCAATATTTGTGGAAACATATGCAAGCTGTTGATTAAGAAATAGAAAAAGAGCAAAATGCAGTGAAACTAAGGCGTTTGCCAACGAGGATAAAGCCCTGAGAGGTGCAGGACAAACTTCAAGAAATTTTGAATGTTCTTTAGCATATTTACCTTATTTTTCTTCTTTAACTGTAATTTCACAGAATATTTCATCCTAAAATAGCATCGCTCTAATATGTACTGGTACTTCATCCCAATTTTGCTAGAAATTTCCTCATTTGCATATGCAATGTGTGACTCCAGTAATTACTGAAAAAAGTAACCAGTCTCAGATCTCCATAATCATGCAGTCTAGTTTCCAATGCCGAAATGTTAAAGTAGACCTGATGCAATATTTTCGCAGGACTTTTTTTTTCATGTTGTTGGGTATTTAAAATCTTGTGTGGACATCGTGACTCAGTTTCATTGCAGTTTCATTGAATTTCATTGAATTTCGTGACTTTGATATAAATACTACAAATGCCTACAAATGTTTTCAGCGTAATTCAACCGATATGGCTTTCAAGAGTACCACGAGACTTCGAAAATAAGAATTTTTGAACATCACGCTTTTATGGAACTCACCAGGTGGCATGTGGAAGAACTGCCTGTCGAACATGTACGGATCTTGAGAGATGTAACCGCCATTTTGGATATACATCTTGCCGGCCATCTTTTCCCCAGGACTCAGGAAGTAGCTAGCGTCAAAACGATCTGGCGGTATGGGCGTTGTGCAGTCCAGCCCCTTCACTAACATCTCCCAGAACTTCTTGACATTGTCCACACCCTTGCCATAGCGACAGCCTATGCCAACTATGGCAACTTTCTGGCTTTCCCAGGAGCGTCCTGCCTCCATATTTCAACCATCTGAGGCAGAACTGGCTTCTTTTTTTCTGTAATTACCGGAAAATTCAAGAAAGGGTGTACATTTTTACCCAAACAACGTGCCACTTAATCACCAGTAATTTATCTAAACATTAAATCGGTGATATTATTCTTTAGAAGAAAGAGCTCCAATATATTAGTCACTGTGGACCAACCGCTGTCTTGACTCTTTATGTATAATTAGCAACTGCACGCTGCACTGAAAACAACAAACTTCCAAAAACTATCAAGGGCTTTATTGTTCATGCCTTCGACACAAAACTGCAGTTTTCAGTCTTTGTAGATGACAACACTGTCTAACTACAAGAACTATACGGAAATAATATCCACTGTTACAGCACTAAGATTGCGAGAAATGTTGCAATTTATGACTAAGGCAAATAGTTTTGATTTGGGGTATTTCACGGCAAAAGATATACGCACATAAAATCCCGTAGAATGACATGGTTCTTATCAGTGAGAGGCAGAGTTAAAAAGCCTGATTTAGAACTGGACTGTGAGTAAAATTCAATGAGGAAAAATAATGTCTGTATTGAGCACTTCCCTTAGATTGGAGAAACTTCTTTAACAACTCAATAAATGATACATGAATAAAAAATGGAAAGGTGAAATGTGAACATATAAGTTAAACAAAATTATGGTTGTGTACAACGAGTGTAAGATTAATTTATTCTTTTTCAGTAAGATTCATTACAAACATTTCTGGCAATCAGACCCACTAATGTAATCAAACTCGTTATTGAACCAATGTGAGCTGAAGCAGCTACACAAGCCAATTAGTTGAGATCATTTGCCAATACATCAAGCCAAAATAACTAATATTCAGATAAGCACTGGTGTACGTAAACTAATTGGAGTTATTTTCAGTCATGTCTTTAAAGTGTGTTTGAGCATGGTTTTACATTTGCCATGTCAAAAAATATTCTAAAAGATAAATCAAGATTTTGTCTTTCAGTGATAAAGACGCCATTGATATGTTCAAAGTGTGCCACATTCATTATGTTATGGTGAGTCTGAACCAACAGTACAAATTAACTAAAATTCGGCAATAAAATAACTTGAAGTGGATAAAAACGAAATGGAAAAGGGATTTCATAAAGAAATCTCACAAAAGCATACACTTTCAAAGCCATTAACCTAGTCGAAATAGCCTCTTCACTAAATGTTTCATTTTTTTTCTCAAGACATTAAATCTTACCGTTATCTAGTAGTTTCACCGTACGTTTTTTGACCCAAATGAGTGTGAAATTTCTTTCTAACAAACAACTGGTGGACGTTCGTCGAACAAATAAGTCACCTTTATTTATACCCTCTGAACACTACCACGTGATGGGACTTCCCACTTTGGGTGGTACTAAGGTGTACCAATGACGTACATTAATTCATGAGTCTGACTAGGTTTAACGGAGTTACGGTGGTCTAGCCATACAAACGAGGAAGTTATTTTGTTCTAAGATTCACATGTTCCGAGAGAGGCCGCCCCAGATTATGTTGTATGGCTTTCTCTTGCACAAACCCTTTCACCTACCCAGCAAGTCAAAAACATGATTATAACCAGAAAATGTTTAAAATGCCATTCACAAAACATATGTGGTGGTATTGTTACAGTATTTAGAAAATATTTTGGTGATTTTAACAAATCGTGAAAAAAATAGATAAAACATGTGACTAGTAATAATTATTTTGGTATATCTAAAATGTTATTGAAATGTAAATGCTCTAACAGAGCCGGGCTAGAATCTGCAACCCGTCGAATTTTATTCCAATAACTCAGCTGTACATATTTTTAGGAGTTGAGCCTTTAGAAGCTTCCAAGTAACTATTTGTATTCATTTTCACGCCAGTCTTATGAAAATCAAGCTTTTTGTGCAAAGTGATTGTACAGCACCCATTTTTCCGAGATAGGTCCGTGAAAAACGTATACTTTTCCATTATGGTGCTCAAGACACGTGGGCTAGCACGCGTGTAGGCTTGGACTTCAACTAACAGTTCTTAAATTAACATTGTTAACTGTATTCATTGAATACGTAATGCTTACAAGTTTCACCATTGCTTTCTTTCAGAACATAGTTAAATGTGATTCCGTTAATTAAATTTTTAACATAGTTACAAAATTTTGAACTGAGAGGAAACTATTTCCAGTATATCATATTATTCAATTGCTGTGCAAACTTGTAATGAGTAATATTTGTAAAACATTTCACAGATGCAATCACTGCAAGACTTTTAATTTGTTATAAAGGATTTATAGATTTTAAAAGAAACATGTTTGAAATGTGCAAATGTTAATACAAAGAATACAATATTAGTACAACATCGCAAAACTAAAATGCTTTAATTTTCAACCTGTGAAGTATTTTTACAAAATATTGTAAATACATTTGATACAATTTTGTTCTTTATCGTACTTTACATCGGTCACAGTTACTCGACTAGATTCCACAATAATACATTTGTTCCCTTCAATTGCAATGTCTGCTCTCTGTTAACACCCCTCAGTTTTTCGGTCCCCGTTTAGGGAATGCCATCCCAAATCACATCAGAATGAAGTCATCGGTTGGTTAGTTTAAGACTTGTTTTAAATAGTCCTCCTTTCCCATGATGAAACACAGTTTTGTCTTGCCTGTCTCGTTTTCGTCTCTTAGTTGCTTGTGTTCTTGTTCTTGTTATATGTTAAGTCTAAAAGCCTCATGTTCTTTCCTATTCTGTTTGTAAATGGCTACTTTTTATCTCATCATAAGTTCTAATGTTTTGTTTTCACCAACATCCGAAAAAGTTAAACAATCTCTTCATTTTGCAAGTACTAGAAGGCCATTCGGATTAACATCATACATGACGATAAATCTAGCACAACGTAAGGAATGCTAAGGCAAACAAATATGTTCACCTGTTTTCACCAGTAAATGAAGCGTAGCAACTTTGAATCAGCGACTTCATGGTCAGACCGAATGGAGTTAGACATGGATTCACATCCAATACATACCGGTTAATAGCCTGTAACTAACAGTTGGCCCGACTGAATTTCAAAGCGGCATAACCACCCCATTGTTGTTACTGAACTTGTATCATGTTTTACTGGTAAGCAAGTCATGATCACCAGAATTTTTTTTATGATCTAATAATTGGTCCGACTAAATCGCAAATTGGCACGAGCCTCAACATTCAATTTGCTGCTATTGCACTTGTATCCTGTTTTATTTTGCGGACACTGGCACAGCAGACTGAATACAGAATCCAACAATGTTAATCAGTGACTTTGTTGTCAGTCTACATTTTCACACACACAAAAATGCTCTCCCAGTGGACAATTGGAGTTGGACGTAGATACATGCCGATACGTATAGGGCATTTTTAAAAATACACTGCACATAAAAATCTTGTACGAAACCGAACAATAAGTTGGGGCGAGTTGCGACGCAAATCCGACAGATTCCTATCCCTCCATCCATTTGCCCGTCGCGAAGGGCGCCCATCCGTCCTAACAATGTTTGTGGTACAGAAAAGAAGACCCTGAATATACTATAATTGCATCTTAAACATTCTAATGGAGGAATGCGTGGAACAACCTGTGTCAAAGAGGAGGTTCACTGCTTTCAACAAAACAAACATTATTTGAGACTCAGAGTATAAGCAAAACGTTTTCCTCCAGTACATTTCAGTGTCTATGAAATCAGAATACCATGGCCTGTAATGGGACTGCTCAACCTAAATCTTCTTCGATACTTTTCTTGACCTCTATACACTTGTAAACCCAGGTAATAAGTAAATAGGAGGTATAAATAGTAAACATGTAAATGTCTCGAAATTTGTCCACAAAGATTTGCACAGAAGTTGTGCACATTGCCTTGGGCAAAGGGTCTCATCTAAACGGTCAAACCGTAGATCTAACGCATTTGCTAAGGTTTGTACAAAATTAAGTCAACTCCTGACTTATGTGGGCTGCACACTTATTGTTGCAAAGGAACTAAAACAATTAACTATTCCGTCGTTGTTTTGGATACAGAACGGAGTGAACGCGAAGATGTACGTCAATCACTGTCTGGGTGACGGGAATTTATTTTGTAGCGGTCTCGATTGTGTGAAATTGTGTACCAATTTTTCCATTGCTCTACAGGTCCATAGAATTTCATTTTTACCTTTGAACCTTTCAGAGAGATTTCGAACGTGACTAATTTAACTCCACTAAATAGACTATTGGTGTAGCGGGAATTTCCAAATTCAAAAGCACGTTGTAAACGGTAGCAAATACCTACGAATGACTTGGAATATTGAAATACCGAATTGAGGTATCATTTGTCTTAAAATATGGCAGGTCACTCTGCAATTTATCTGAGAATATTTTGTGATTTAGATGTGACAAAAATCATTAAACATCAAATACGGAATCATGTTGTTAAAGTTACCTGGTACCTTTGATGCAGTTCAATTTTTTTTGCAAATGTTTGCTCATAATTCTACTGAAGGGGGGTGGTGTTCTGTATTTGTGAGCGAGAAAATAACGAGGTTTGTTTACTCTGAAATTATCAGGGTAGCTTTGGGTACAGACCCCTTTCTTGATTTCGAATCTTGTTTAATTTGTAAGAAACCCCCCTCCCATTTTTACCTATTTCCCTCAACTCATGTCACCTTTGTAATTACAAAACATGAAAAATTACGGTAATACAGAAACCAACAATGGCAATCCTGGAGGTGTGGGCGGTAGACAAACAAATAAGGGTTAAATAAATTCAGTGCACGACGTGTGAGGAAAAACAAACAATCCGTCGGGAGGCGTCTCGGAAATCCCCTTTACTTTTCAGGAAAGGGCTCAATTGTGCTCATACTCACCGTTACAAAGAGCTAACAAATGGCCCGACTGAACTGCAAAATGGCATGTACCGCAACATTATTGCTATTGCGCTCTTATTTTTTTACTTACTA